AAAATAATAATCAGTGACCATTATGAAAAACTTCATATTAATAAATTCAACAACTCAAATGAAAAGAACAAATTTCTTGAAACGCATAAACAACCAGCGTTCACTCAAGAAGTATACAAGCTGACTCGTCCTGTATCTACTTAAGAAACTGACTTCCCAGACAGCTTCACTAGTGAATTCTCCAAATATTTATGGATGAAATAACAAATCTACACAAACTCTTTCAGGGAACTGAAGGGGAGGTACACTGTCCAATTCACTCTATCAGGCTGGCATTATTCTGATTCCAAAACTGTACAAAGACATTACAAGAAAATCTACAGACCAACATCCCTTATTAAAACAGACAAAAAAATTCTTAACAAAATTTTAGTAAATTGAATCCAACCGTAGATAAAAAGGGCAATGCATCAGTACCAAAGATTGGTTTGATAGTCAAAAACCAATCCATGTATCAAGACAATTCTTGGGTACATGGGTAGAAAACAGTCTTTTCAACAAATGGTGCTGGGACAACTGGATCTCCAAAAGCAAAAGTATGAAGTTAACCACAACATCACACTATTTACAAAGACTAACTCAAAATGGATCAAAGACCTAAATGTAAGAGCTAAAACTATAACATTTAGAAGAAGAAGACCTAAGTGTAAATCTTTATGACCTTGGTTCAGACAACAGATTCTTAAATATTATACCTAGAGCATAAGCAACAAAAGAAAAAAATAAACTAAATTTCATCAAAATTAAAAACTTTTCCATTTCAGAGGACACTTTCAAGAAAGTAAAAATACCTACCCAAGAATGGGAGAATATATTTGCAAACCATACATCTGATAGACACATTTGCAAATCATACATCTGATAAAGGACTTGAATCTAGACTACATGAAAAATCTTATACGTCAACAATTGAGACAAATAACCTCATCAAAACATGGGCAAAGGACCTAAATGGACATGTCTCCAAAAAAGATAATGAATGACCCATAAGCATACAAATAGATACCCAAGTCACTAACCATTAGGGAAATGCATATCAAAACCCCAATTAGGGCACTTCACAGTCACGAGGCTGTCTGTAATCAAGCAACGGACAGTAACAAATGCTGGTGAGGATGTGGAGAAATTGGGACCCTCAGCCACTGTTGCTGGGAATGCAGAAAGGAGCAGCCCCTTTGTAAAACACTGTCAGCTATGTCTAGTTCACAAAGCTAAAGAGAAGTGCCACCCAGCCTAGCAATTCCACTCCTAAAACATTACACGGAATAATTGGAAGCAGGAACTCAAACAGATACTTGTATACCAATGTTCACTGTAGCATTACTCACAATAGCTAAGAGGGGAAACACCCAAGCTTCCATCAACAGATGAATGGGGGAGATGCATACAACGGAGTATTATTTGGTCATAAAAGTAATGAAATTTTGATACATGGTGCAATATGCATGACTCTTGAAAACTCAAGTGAAATAAGCTAGATGCAAAAGGACAAATACTGTGTGATTCCACTTATATGAGGTGCTTACAAAAGGCAAGTTACTAGAGACAGAAGGTAGAACAGAAGTTACCAGAGGCTGGAGGGAAGGGGGAGCAAACAGCTATCATTAATGGGTACACAGCTTCTAGTTACAATGATGACAAAGTTCTGGAAATAAATAGTGGTGAGGGTTACACTATATTGTACATGGACTTAATGTCCCTGAATCGTACACTTAAAATGGTTAAAATGGTAAATTGTGTTATATGTCTACTTTACCACAATAAAGAAGGAGAGCCCCCCGCCCGCTCTCCCTGTTTCCGCACCCCTATGCCACCCTCTGATCCGCCCTCCACCCGAGGGCTGGAGGCCTCTTGCTGAAGCCCCAGGGTGCGTACAACCCGTATTCGCAGTTGTCAAGGCTCCTAAGAAGTTTACGCTAAAAAAGATGAATTTTACTGTTTGTAAATTATGCCTCCATCTTAAAACGTGGCTAAAGTTAAAAAAACAAAAAGAACAAAAACCCAAATCAGATCTCTCAACTGCTCAAAAAACATCCAATGGTCAGCCGGGCCCCGACCCAGGCTCACCCAGGGGGGCGGGACGTGGCCCCCACCCGGACCTCGTGCCCAGGGCTCTCCAACCTCTCCAGCCGCCAGGGGCCACCGGGCCCTTTCTTGAACCCGCCCGACACGCTCCCACCACAGGGCCCCCCCCCCCCCCCGCCCCCCCGCGCTCGGGCCCTTTTCCTCAGGGGATTCACGAGGCCCGCTCTCAGTCTTTTGTCTTCATCCGAATGTTGAGTGTCAAAAGGCAGGATGTTACGTTAGACAGAAGAACCCTGCTTGACGGTGAAAGAAATGCGGCCTGGTATTTCTGAGACATTCTAGCCGTCTGCCCATGTGTGAGAAGCACCTTCCCCGACCACCCCACTTAAACTGCAGCCCACGCCAGACAGCAGCCCCCAAACCCCTACCCTCCCTCAACGCCCCCCACCACACCTATCAGCACCTGAAACAGTAAGGAGATGCTACATATTGTGCCGATTTATTTCACTTATCATTTGTCACTCTGTGACTAGGGCAGGTTGGTGTTTTGGAGTTTTGTTAACTGCTTCATCCTCAGCACCTAGAACAGTGTGTGGCATAGAGAAAAGGCTCATGAATATTTGCTGGGGAAGAAATGAGTAAATGAACAACAAAATTCCTGAAAGGAAATGAGGTGTCTGGTGTGTTTTAGTGAAAAAAGACAATCACACTGAAAACCCCGGCTCCCCAGCCCCAAAGCCCGCCAGGCCTCCAGCCACGCAGCTGCGGGTCCACTCCGCCTCCCACACGCCCCGCCCTCCCTGGCCTGGGCGGCGGGTGCTCCACGCCGCTGTCAGAACCCTCCTCTCCGCACTCCCTGCCTGGTGTCTGGTGGCCACTGTGGAACTTTGAGCTGAACCGTTGTTCCCTCCCCAGCCTCCCCGTCAGCCCCAGACACCACCCCCCCGCCCCCTGCTGGCACACGGCGTCCTTTCTTAGCGCCTGGCGCCTCTCCTTCACGGAACGCACTGCAGTCCACTTAGGTGCCTGCGTAGCTGGTAGTTCAGGGCTGCCTTCTTGCTAAAACGTAAGTGCCAGGAAAGCAGGGACTGGGTGACTTACTCACTGCTGTGTCCTTGGCCCGCGGGGCGGCAGCACGCTCACAGCAGAGACCCCAGAAGACTTGGCCCAACCAAGTGCCTGAGCCCTGCACACGAGTGTGACAGCCAGGGGTTTGCTGCACACAAACCCTCTCGTGGCGGGATGGTCAGTCAACGAGTGTAACGGACGAAGCCAATGAAAGCGACAGAGACCGATGGCGGAAATATGCGAGCTCATCTCATAGTAAAGCTTCTGTAAGATCCTACTCGCAAAAAGTGAAATGCAAAATAAAATACTTCCAATGCCCTTATTTCTACTTATTGATTATGCTTAGTGTTTACCTTTATCATTATTTGATAAACAGTCATTAAAAAGGAACTATACTCCATGCATCAAGCTGGGCATACAAATTAAATAGCTGTACATATAGCTGTCCAATTCTGCGGGGAAAGGGAATGTTTTCTCACGGTTCCTTTTAAACTTTTGTGTCTATTTTTCTGAAGCCAGAAAAAAAAGGAAATGCAGAATTGCTCCTCTAACAAAGCCCAGATCAAAGATCAGCTGAGATGAATCACTTGAGGGAAACAAGGCCTGAGAAAAGGTAAAGTGAAATTACAAGATACTTTTCATCCATGGTTGGTGGCTAAAATGTCTCAGAAACACTGGGCCCTCTTTCTTTCACCGTTACGCTGGACCTTCCTCTCATGTAACACTCTATCCCTCTACGGCATGTCCTTGCCTCCCCTGCACTAGGAATCTGGCTACAATTCCCAAACTCTAACGTGCAGGTTTTTCCCTTGAGAAGTTCGCAACTGCCACAAGCGCCACCTTGGCCTAAACAGCACACTGAAGCTTCAAGGCCACTGCCAGACACACACATGGGTTGGCCTGTTTGGGGCTGGCAGCATGGCCCTGAGCTAGCTACGAAAGTTCCTGGAACAGGCAGCATTGGTGAACGGACCGCTGTGGGTAAACAAGGCCAGTGGGCTGGGGAAGCAGGGCCGCTCGGTGAGGCGAACCAGACCAGGAGCAGGCCTGGGGCGGGGAGAGCGCAGGCCGAGTGCACACAGTGCAGGCCTGGGCTGCTCTTGCTGCCGCCGGACTAATCATGGGTGCCAGATGCTGATGCCCGAAGGACACACTGGTCATTGCAATCCCTACACTCAACCTGAGGAAATGTCCCTCAATGCTCCCCTGTGCCACAGGGGAGGCTGGACTTGAGAGAGCACAGCTATAACACACAGAGCGGCAGAACGGTGCTGCCCTGGGTTGGGGTGGGGCGGGGGGAGCCAGTGCCTCAAGTTCTAAAGAGAAGCGGCTCCGGCATCAGTGGTCCAGCCCTCAAACCCCACTTAGGGGAGGGGCTGGAGTCTCCAAACAGAGCTGCTGCCTTCTCAAAGGCTGTTGTGTTTGGTTTTTTCATACAAAAGGCGAAAGAAACTTGGAAAGACAGCAATGCCTGGAGAGAGGAAATGAGGGGGAGACTGTCAATCTCAAGATCACTGCCGAGTTTTCAGAATCAAGAGTCTGCACTGGAACTGAAGCATCAACTCCGGAACCCCAAGAGTGTTTAAAAAAAAAAAACCCAGCCCTATACCTGACTTAACGACCCTACTGTGCACCCCATGTGGTCTTGAACATGGCAACAGCACACTGGGCATGTCACCAACACGGCCTTCGAAGGCTTATGAGGCAACTGTCAGTGGCAAACTGAAGAGGACAATCTCCTGAAAGCCCAATCGTGTACCCAAGATTAGCTGTCCACCCCTCCCAGCCTTGGCAGGAAGAATAGCCACCCAGTGCCAGCAGCAACGCTGCCCCCTGCAGGCAGTCCCTTGCCATTAAAGAATAATTCACCGCAGACACAGCAGACATACGGCAAAGACAGAACATACCCCAAGGCTGCAGAGGTGGGTGAAGGGTTATTCTTCAGTTCCTGCACATTTACCACTTGAGGGACAGTCTTCAAAGTTGATTCAGTCAACGTACTTACAGCTATTAAAATAAAGAACAGACAAGCATATTCATTGCACTAAGGAATCAAAACCAGGACACAAACTCAAGCACAGTGCAGTCTGACTGGAGGAAGGAAGCCCACTCTGGGCAGGCCTGGGCGCTGCGTTCCATAAACACCGGCCCCCATTCATAAAGACGATGCCACAAGGCTCCGTGCACCTTAATCAAATGTCCTTGTTTAGGGAAAAGGAATTCCCTGGCCAGAGCCCACAGAGCAGAGCTGAGATTACTGGCCACACTACTGGCTCATCGTGGAAAAGGGCAGAAAGAGCTAGAAGATGAGCAGCGTTCTGACTATGGATTTCCCCGCCCGTCCACTCATTCATTCAACCGTTCTTTCACACGGGCTTTGCATTGCCAGACTGCTAGGTGCTGGGAATAGGAAAAATGTCTAACATATAGTTTACATATAGTTTCTCCACTACAGGAGCTCACAGCTGAGACAGACGCAATGAATAAAATGTTTTTGGAAGTGGGGACTGGACAAGAATGGGGGAAGGTCGAGAGGCTGCATTAAGGGCGGGCAACCAGAGTTCTTCTGACACCTGCTTACCCGTCTCAGGCGTGTTAGCTTCCACATCTCCTTTTTATGTCTTAAAATTTAAAACAGTATTCCAAAAGTTGACATTTCATTATTAACTATTAAGAAGGCCTGGGCGAAACTCTTCGACCCCTTCTAACTGTGCGTTTGGCAGAACGGAGAACTGCGGCCTGGAGAGAAGGGGCTTGGTGGCAGCTCGCTCTCCCTCCTTCACAGCAGCGCGCTGGCCTTCTTGCCCACGACTGCACATGCTTCATCTCACACATTCAAAGGTACCTACACCTTAGAAATTTTTGCTTCCAAAATGACAAGAGATCACACCACCTCCTGCGGAGAGTGGAATAATCCTAAATTCTGGCAGATTTTCCGTTTATAAATAATAAACTCTATCAGTGTGATTTTGAGCCTGTTCAGTACAATGCCAAGATTCTGTTTGGTCCAAATAATACTTAAAGGAAACATCAAAGTATTCTATTCTTTTAGAAGGCTCAAAGGGACTTTGATGTTATCTTGTTTATGTTCTTTCATATCTGCTTTAGGTGCCTTGATAAAGGTTTTAATATTTGAACTTTTCTTAGAAATCTTTTATCTCTGTATAGTGGTAATTTTTTTGGGGGGGAGGTCTAAATCAAACCACTGTGTCTTCTTAGTCTTAAAAAAAACTGTCTAAATTGACATGTGTTCTAAGCAGTGACAAAACTGAAAAATAATTTTATTCAGCTGAAACAAAAATATCTCACTTATGGCAGTTTCTCAACCTTGGCGCTATTGGGATTTGGGGGATGGATAATCCTTTGTGGGGGTGTCCTGTGCATTTTAAGATTTTTTTTTTGTAGCAAAGATGAAAAAAAGTGCAAGTTCTGTTATACACGTGTGTCAAAAGGTACTGTGCAGTGTGTTACTTATCCTTAGGACAGATGAGATTTACAAGGTGACTGTGGTATCTACTTAAGGAAATTTACACAATGCTCCTCCCCCTCCCTTCTTCTTCTGGTACCAGTATTATAATAAAGCGCAGTTTGTAACTGAGTGGCTCTAATGGAAAGAAGAGCTGCTCAAAGGACGTACGATGTCATCTATTCAATTCCTTTGCTGTGACGATCAGGATGAGATGAGCCGCACGCACTGCACTTGCCCACTCGTCTCCCTTTTTGACCACGGGGGCTCCCACACTTGCACGCACCCCCTGCCATGTGTTCTGACATCTCCACGTTACTGTGACCCTCTCTGTCCTGAGGCGCAGCAACGGTAAGGCAGCTGGTGCTGTGAAGGGCCCCTTTGGAAATTAATCTACTGGCAGGGTTCCTGCCAGACAGAACTACAGTTCCATCGTACTGGTATAAACAAAATAAGAGATGAACAAATTAAAAGAGAGAGAGAATAGGGAACTGGGTTAACTTTTTTAAATTAAAGGCCCTGGCTGGTGTGGCTCAGTGGATCGAGTGTCTCCTTGCAAACCAAAGGGTTGCCAGTTCAATTCCCAGTCAGGGCACATGCCTCAGTTGCGCACCAGGTCCCCAGTAGGGGGTGTGCGAGGCAACCACACATTGATGTTTCTCTCCCTCTTTTTCTCCCTACCTTACCCTCCTCTAAAAAATAAACAGATAAAATCTTAAAAAAAAAAAAAAATTAAAAAGACTTTGTTACTTGTAAGTCACAAAGTTAAAATTGCATTACCTCAGCTCTAAACTAGCCTTGAAGTTTACATGACTTTGTAAATGTACTCTTTTTCTTTGTTGTGATGTCCTTTTACTTTTTTTTTAAAAAACTGCTACCATATAAGCCCTGGTTGGTAGAATTCATTGGACTGAATGCTGGCCTGAGACCCAAAGGGTTGCTAGTTTGATTCCCAGTCAGGGCACAAGCCCAGGTTGTGGGTCAGGTCCCCAGTAGGGGGCATGCAAGAGGCAATCACACACTGATGTCTCTCTCCTCTTTCTGCCTCTCTTCCCCTCTGTCTAAAAATAAATAAATAAAATGTTAAAGAAAAAAAAAAACAAACTACTACCATGAGATAAAATGTAAATTGTTGCCAACTGCAGTAGTGATACTTTTTTAATGATGCTTTAATAAGTGACCATGATATGCAAAAAAATAGTAGTAATAAAAATAAATTTTTAAAAAAGAATTTTTTTTTTTGGCAATATTTCTGACCTCAACCTCCAATACTGCCGACTGCTGGAGGGGGGAGTTGGGAACAACCCCAGGCTTGTAGCCATGGCTAACGGGCGATAACCGAAGTCCTTGAGGCCAACGACCTCGGAGTCCTGCAGTAGACAGTCTGGGTAGCCATGCACCAGCGACAAAACACAAGTGCTCATCAGCGCTCTGTCTGTGAAGGCCACATCCGGCCTCCTAAGAAAATGCTGTGCTGCAAGGGGATGGCCTGGCTTGGAGTCTGGGTTCCGCTGCCTGGCGGTTGGGGTGCCCTCGTGTCTCTGAACCACATGTCGCCCAAAAGTAAAGCGGGCGCTCTAAAACCCACCTCACAGCGTAGCAGAGACCCTTATGCTGCCATGAGGTGATCCGAATGTTATTAAGTGATCAAACTGCACAGATTAACTTGGGCTTAAAGCAGACATTATTCAAATGTAGTGCCATCATAAAACCAGACTTCCCCTTATCTGAATGTGGCAGACCTGACACCTCCCCTTAAAGGAAATCGTCTCAGACCTAATCTCTGCTTTCTTGAAACTTTTTCCCCAGAAAGGACAGAGGGCTGTCACATCAGTCTTCTCTTCTGAATGGCAGCAGAGCTAGGAGTTCGTGGGCACCTGCTGGCCTGGCCTGTGACACAGAGAGCCCGTACCCAGCCTCCGCACAGGCGGGGGCTCCAGCTCTCACCTGGCGCCTGGCTGGCCATCTGTCGTCTCAGTGCTGCTGCGGCAGCCGCCTGGGGCGCTGGGATGGTGTGGGAGGGACCCGGTGCACCGTGCTTCACGGTTTTGGTCGCGAGCATTGTGCTATCAGCTCCTTGAGGAATAATTTTGCCAGTGGACGTAGACACTGAGGGAAACAGAAAAATTAAATGAGAGAGCGGGTCAGAGAAGAGGAAAACACTGAAGTTAAAACGATCAGTTCTCCATGTTAGGTTTCAGGGAGAATCCTCCTTAAGCATGAACATAGAAAAGTACCAGTAACAGGCTGGCACCCATGTCCTTCAAAGATGCCACATGCTACTGCCTGCCCACCGCCTTTAGCAGGGTAACTCAAGGACCCTGCATCGGCGGTTTTCAACCTTTTCATCTCATGCGCACATGAACTGATTACTAAAATTATGCAGCACACCAAAAAACCTACTTTCTGACCAAAAAATAGGTATAATTTTGATTCATTCACACTAGACGGCTATTGTCATTATGTCATTATTGTCACAATGACGGCTACTGTCATTGTTTTATTTGACAATCTAAGGGAAAAGAGGTCAGTGCTCCTGACTAATTAGTCAGATATTGCATGCTTTAGAAATTCTTGCATCATACTGGTTGAAAATGACTGCTTTACATAATCATTCCCGCTGATACTGATCAACATATAACCTTTATGCCAACACAGATCAATTCAATCAATGCCCTGCTCTCCTCCCATAAAAATCTCTCCATCCACTGCCTCACGCTCATTTTTTGTCCTCTGTCAGAACCCACTTCGGTGCAAAGCCCTGACACCCTGAACCGAAGGGGTGACGGCACAACACAGGTCACTTGGGTGAGCCACTACTGGCGGCGAGCACATGCTGGTGAGTCCTGAGCCAGCGCACGGCACAGCAGCGAGCTGAAACGAGCTACGATGCGCCAGGCGCCAGCATGGTCGCCGTGTTACCCTGAGACGAACGGCTCCTCCTGTTACTCCTGAAAAGAACTGTCTATAAAAACACAAGCTGGACTCAACAGTAAAGCTGTGACAGGGAACCTTCGGTCTCCTTCACAATGTCCTACCAGCTGCTTCCAAGGGGAACGCACCTCTTGAATGAGTCTTCAGGTTTCTGGATTGTTAGCAGGAATGGGCTGGAACCAGCAGCTTAGTGGTGCGATAGTATAAAACCCAGTCACAATTCTTTCCTGGGTTCAAAACCTAATGGGGAAGAAAAGAGTTTCCGGACTCACTGTTTCCTTACCTGAAGTTCCCAGGTTCACACCTGGTGAGCCATAACCCAGGTGGGATTTAGCAAAGGGAGCTGCCGCCTGGGACAAGAGGCTGGGCTGGATGGAGGGTGTGCGGACCACGGGGGCGTGCCGAGGGACCTGGGCCCCTGCGTCGTCATCTTTACTGGGTGCCCGTGTGTCTTCGCTCTCCAAAGACTGGGAGACGGACGACGTTGAGCTGGCTTCATCCAAGTCTTCGTAGTATCTCTGAGACAGGAAGGCTGACCGAGACAGGCTGGCTACAAAGCCCAAAACAAAACTCAAGTCAGTAATGAAGCAGTCCAAACGCTACGTAATTTTCACTGTCAGCAGAGAAACGGTTGAAAGCTGCTACTGTTGAATGTGAACAAAGATGGTTTGGGGTCTCTGCTCGAATGGGGCTTTGAAATACTGAGCTGTGTAGGACAGGAACACTTTGTCCAAAAAAAGTGTGACGCGCGAGAGGAACAAATGCCGTGAGAAAGCAGGAGACCCCGTGCCCTCTACAGAAGTTCTCACAGGCGGAATAATGACCCATCAGGGAAGTGACACACAGGCTCCCCCGGCACAGTGACCGGTCCCACTGCTGCCGCTGCTTCTCCAACAATGTTTTTAAAGACAGGCCTAATGCCAGCTGCGAAAAACAGAAGGTCTCATACATTTCCAGACAAATCTAATGATTCTTTTGAATCAAACAGGTTGGAAAAAACCCCCACCAAAACTAACCCTGACTTCCCATTTTCCCCCTCTATGAACTATCAAGTAAGGTGTCAGGACATTGTGTTTTTTACCATGAATTTTGGAATGCATGCTATTGCCTGTTTACTGGGGAAAAACCAAACAACAACGTTTCTCCTCAAGTTATTTAAAATAGCAACGCTAACATCTGCTGGCTTGTTCGCTCCATAGTCACAACGTTCTACAAGATTTTATTGGTCACAATTAGGTGTGACATAAGCAAACGCTACTGAAAACTGCTGAGGCTGCGTGCCAGAGCTGTGCTGTTCACTTCGATAGCCATCAGCTAGCTGCCTGGGGTTATTTAAGTGAAAGATGATTAGAAGTAAGTTAAATTTCAAACCCTCAGTTGTACCAGACACATTTCAAGCGCTTGACAACCACATGTGGCCACTATATTGGACAGCAAAGATACAAAATCCTCTGTCGCAGAAGTTCTACTGCACAGTATGGGACCAGCACGCTCTGATGCAAGTAAACATGCAGCAGGCTCCTTCCAAGTTCACCCCTACCTCCAGCACCAGCAGCGAAGCTGCAGCGCTTATGAGAACTTACTCGGTGGCCCGTGCAGCAGCATCTCACTTAACCCTCACAATTCGCCTATGAACGAGAACTTCCTATTACCTGATTTTATACCTAATGTTTAGAACAGTTAAGTAATTTGCCCACGGTTGTGAAGTTGGTAAGTGGTGAGCCAGAATTCCAACTTGGGTGTATCTGACTTTAAGGTCACATTCTTTTTTATTTTAAGTATATTCTACTGCTTGTGCTATTACAATTGTCCCAATTTTTCCCCCTTTGCCCCCCTTCGCCTGAAACTTGTGCTAGGCAGAATTCTGACTCCACGACCTTTGCCCCCTGGTACCACACCCATGGTTATATTCTGTTAAATGGTAAAGGGGCTTTTGCGAACACAATTAAGTTTACTAATCAGTTGGCCTTAAACAGAATTTAGCCTGGATTATCCATTTGGACCCAAAATAAAATCTCCAGAGCCCTGAAAGGCAGAGAAGTGAAGCAAAAGAGGAAGTCACAGGGATGTGGCTGGAGAGATGTGGGGGAAAGGAAGCCAGGGATCTGAAGCTCCACGGGGAGACATGCTGTTGGCATGCAGACAAAGGGGAAACAGGGACTTCAGTCCCACCGCTGCAAGGAACTCAATTCTGCGGACAATTAATTACATTGGGCTTAGAAGTGCAATCTTCACCAGAGCCTTTAGAGGACCGCTCAGCTGGCCAAGACCTTGACTTCAGCCTGTGGGCCCCGAGCAGAGGGCCCAGCTGAGCCTCGTTGCCGGTGGATTTCCGACCCATTCAAGTGCGAGAGCAAAAATAAATGGTGTTTTAAGGCACTACGTTTGTGATCGCTTGTTACGGCACCCAAGAAAACTAACACAAACCCCACATTCTCCTAGAGCCACACTGCCCTCAATAATTTCTCTAAAAGCCTAACAGCAGAAATACTAAACTCTTAGGAATAAATCTACAAAAGATATGTGTGTCCTCCACACAGAAAACATGAAGAGAAATAAAGACCTGAACGAACATATACCGTATTTAGGAACTGAAAGATGAACGTTGTACTTGTGTCAATTCTCTCAAGTTAGCCGAGAGAGTCAATACAATCCCACTGAAAATCTCAACTATTTTTTGAGGAAGGTAGGTGGTAGAAGTTAATAAAATAATTCTAATGTTAATATGGAAACAGAAAGCACTGAGAAGAATCAAAACATTCTAGATCATGGGTCATTAAACTACAACCATGGGGTGGCTGCTTGTTTTTATAAAGTTTTATTGAATCACAGACATGCTCATTTGTTTACAGACTGCCGGCCACTGCCTGTCCAGTACGAGAGCAGAAAGGGCCTGCAAGGCCAAAATGTGTGCATCCAGCCCTTTAAGACAAAGTTTGCCAGCCCCGCTCTAGACTGGAGCACCGTCTGGGGTGACAAAATGCCCTACACCCATGCTTCCCACTGCAGGGGCCGATGGTCACACAAGCCTGCTGCACGTGGGAAATAGGGCTACTTAGCTGGACTTTCAGCCTATTTAATCTTTATTAATTTAAATTTAAACAGACTACCATACTGGACAGCATGGCTTTAGAATTTAGGAAAACACAGCACTGAGAGGTATCTTACTAGCATGAGCTAACGAAGGCAGTGTGGTCGGTAGTGGCGGTTCCTCACCAGCGTATGAGACCAGCAGAACTACACACAGAAGAGTGACTGACTTACAGCACCGGCAGCTGGGGTGGCAGTGGCGGGGTGTATTTTCAATAAACAGTGTTAGATAATCAGATCTCTAAATACAAAAAAAATGACAAGCGAGCCCTGCTTTACATCATATGTAAAAATCAATTCCACGCAGCATAAAGAAAATGTGGTACATCCACACAATGGGATACTATTCGGCAATAAAAAGGAATGAACTACTGATACACATTATACATCATGGGAGAACCTCAAAAACATCCTAAGTGAAAGAAGCCAAACCAAAAGATTCCATATTATCGAATTTACATGTAATTTCTTAAAAAGGCAAATTCACAGAGAAATGAAACAGGAGAAAGAAAAGAAATCAGCAGATGCTGAAGACAGAAAAAAAACTGACTACAGTCCTAAACTGTGTAGCTCAGTGGGTTGGAGCATCATCCCACAAACCGAAAGGTTGCAGGTTCAGTTCCCCGTCAGGGCATATGCCTAGGTTGCAGGTTCAGTCCCTGCTTAGGGTGTGTATGAAAGGCAATCAATCAACATTTCTCTCCCTCCTTTCCCCTCTCTCTAAAACCAATTAAGTATGTCCTCAAGTGAGGATAAAAAAGTGGACTACAAACAAGCAGGAGCAAACTTTTTAAGTGATGGAAAAGTTCTAAAACTGGATTGTAGTGATGGTTATTTAATTCCGTGAATTCACCAAAAATCATCAAACTGTACACTCATACAAAGGTGAGTTTTATGAAATGTAAATTATACCTCAATAAAGTTGTTTGAAAATCAATTCCAGGTAGCCTGGTCTAAATTTGAAAAGACTGACAATAGCAAGCTTGGCAAAGGTGTGGCGCAGCTGGAACATTCAGACCTTAAAGGGAAAGTATAAACTGATATGCCCACTTGGGAAAGCTGTATGGCAGTATCTACTGAAGCTGGGCATATGGTCAGAACGTGAGCCAGGATTTCTACCCCGAGCCATGTGACCAAATAAAAGGGGTACCTGTACCCCAAGGAACATGAACAAGAAGGCCCAGAACAACACTCTATTCTATTACAGGTAAAAACTAGCAACAGCATGTCCACCAAGAGGAGAACACGTAAACCAACGGGATGGATTCACACAACAGAATACTCCACAGCAACGAAACGGTGACGGCCGCACCAACGGCACAGACAACTCTCACACACCTGGCGTTCAAACGAGGGACATCCAGCCGCAGGATGAATGGACTCATGCAGTATACACAGAAGCCCTGAAACGGGCAAAAACAAATTACAGTGTTGGGGAAACACACTTAAAGAGTAAAGCTGTCTGCCCTGGCTGCTGTGGCTCAGTGGATTGAGCAACTGCCTGCAAACCAAAGGGTCACTGGTTTGAGTCCCAACCAGGGCACGTGCAGGCCAGGTCCCCAGCAGGCGGTGCTTGAGAGGCAACCACACATTGATATTTCTCTCCCTCTCTTTCTCCTCCCTTCCTCTCTAAAAATAAATAAAATCTTAAAAAAAAAAAAATTAAATTGTCAAGAAAAGCAAAGATAAAGGAGACGAGAGAGAATGACAACGTAATGCAATGTACAGTCCTGGCCGGGATCACAGATTTTTTACAAAAGAGTGGCTATGCAGGATGTAAGACACAGGGTTGGCAAACTGTGAGTATGGATTCCATACTAGATAACAGTATTCTATCAACATTCAATTCCCTAAATCTGATCAGTGTTTAGTGACTGTATAAGAGAATATCCTTGTTCTTAAAGGACACACGCCAAAATATTCCAGAGTAAAGGGGTCCTGTTTGCAACTTACTTTCCAGTGGTCCATCAAAACAAACAACAACAATGTGCACATGTGTGGGAGTGAGGACACAGATGAAGCAACTGTGGCAAAGGTTACCGGGAAATACGGGTGAAAGGTAAATGGAGACTCACTACATTATTCTAGTGGCTGGGGGTCTAAAATTTTTCAAAATAATAAAAATCCAAAATGTCAACAGGAAAAAACAAAAGCAAAGGAATAACAGGTGTTACATAGCGGTGCCTCTTGTGAGCAGGAAGACTGGGGGTGCACAACAGGGGGACCTAGGGAGCTGGCACTGGGAAAGTTCTGTTTCTTGGCCTAGACAGAGATTTCACGGATGGATATTTTTCTTTTGTGCACTTTGCTGTGTGAGCCATAGTTCACAATTTTAAAAAATCAGAACCGTTTATACGCTGAGATGTTCTTTACATTTTCTGCCCTCATGCTGAGTATGATATGCAGTTATCCGCTTCATGTCTGCTCTCCCTCAATAAAGAGTCCCACGCGTTCAGATGCCATCTTTCTCTTGCTCATCAGTGTAGAACAGAGTGAACAATCTTATCTGCTGCCTGAGCGTTTAAATTACAAATATCTCACTTCTAAGGAATCCATGATAAAGATATATTCAGATATGGTTACAGATTTGTGAACAGGGATTTCTGGGTAATTTCCTGGCAATAACAGTAACATTAAACAACAGGGATTAGATAAGTAAATTATGGCCTTCCTACACAAGAAAATACTGTGCAGCCATTACAAGGCTTACGTTCAAAGAATATTGAAAAACAGAAGGCAGAGGAAAAGCTCATGCAATTGTCTGAATTATTTCCAAATTACCCCCATTTTTTTATTGTGGTAAAATGCATGTAACACGACCTTGACCATCTTGACTGCTTTTGAGTGCGTGGTCGCTGCTGTTCCGTGCGCTCGCAGCGCTGGGCGGCCGCCACCGCCACCCGGCTCCGGAACGCTCTCCTTCTTGCATGGCTGACTAACTCTGTCCCCATTAACTCTCCGGTCTGCTCTTCCCTCAGCCCCTGGCCGTGGCCGTCCTACTTCCCGTGCCTATGAATTTGACTACTCTAGTTTCCTCCTACAGGCAGAATCGCACAGTGTCTGACTTTTTGTGACTGGCTTCTTTCCTCAGCATAATATCCTCAAGCCTCATCCACAGTGGAGCATGTGTCAGAATTCCCTTCCTGCTTAAAATACGTATATACCCCATCTGTCTTCTCTATCTAACCTGTCAATGGATGTTTGGCTTGCTTTTACATTTAGCGCCTGTGAATAACGCTGCCACAAACACGAGTACACAAAACATCTGTTTGAGTCCCCACTTTCAGTTCTTTGCTGGGTCCTGTTTAATTTTTCCAGCAACCACCAACTGCTGTCCACGGTGCTACGCCCTTTTGCATTCCTACCAATGGCGCACAAGGGCTCCAGTCTGTCCACAGCCTAGCCAACACTTGTCATTTTCTGTTTCAGAGTAAAGGTTTCTAAGTTTCTAATTAAAAAAGAAAATAAGAATAAAAGGTTATAAATGTATTAGTCCCAACCTCATTTTCAAGAAGTCAAATTTACACATGTAAAGAGAAAAGTTTAAGAGTGAACCAAAGTGACACAACTGATGACGTATTTGGGTTGATGGCTAAGAGCAATTTTTATTTTTCTTTGTACTTTTCCACGTTTTCCAATTATCTATCAAGAGAAGGTACTCTTCAGATAACGGAAAACATTATTTTAAAATATCACTTGTTTGTGACTATTAGCTAATTTAATTTAGCTTTATATGATTATACAAAAATTAATAAGTTATGGTACAGTAAGATTAAATTTCCATGTGGTACTTTAATTACGAAAAGAATTTATTGGTATAAAAAAAAAAAACAATTTTAGCCCTGGCTGGTGTGGCTCAGTGGACTGAGCGCTGGCCTGCAAACCAAAGGGTCGCTGGTTCGATTCTCAGTCAGAGCATATGCCTGGGTTGCAGGCCAGGTCCCCAGCAGGGGGTACGCAAGATATACCCACACAGTGATGTTTCTCTCCCTCTCTTTCTCCCTCCCTTCATCTCTTTAAAAATAAATAAATAAAATCTTAAAAAAAAGAAAAAAATATTAAAATTTAAAAAATTTAACTCAAAACAAAATTAAAAACAAAAAAGCAGATATGGGCACTAAAGCAAAGCCACAGTTATGCTGGAAGTTGTATACAACATATATTATAAGAAAGAAAATTGAGGTAGTTATCTAGATAATTTAATGGCAAAAGCAAGTTTTTTCCATCAGTTATATGGGCTATCATTCCCTAACCAGTGGGTTTTTCCTACCTTCTACCTTCTTAAAAAGAGAAGCCTTTTTTCAAAAACAATCTTACTCAAACCCCACATGAATCAGAAAAGCAAAGCTTCTAAAGTAGAGACTACTCTCCGTGGAGCCAACTCAGCACCCCCAACCCTCGGGAATCGCCGCCACACAGCCTGGGGCCCGCAGAAAACCGGGCGTCAAAGCACAATGACTGCTCGAGCTGCTTGGTTGAGATGTACCAGCAGCTTTCTACTCCAGCGCGCAGATGGACAACAAACAGATTCTGGGGACAAGGCCTCCCACTAAGCACCAAAAGGAAAACACAGACAGACAGACACGCACAGAACACTCCCTCACTGTGTGCGAGGTGGTTTAGGCCGAGAAATTCAGGACCGGCTCCCTTTACCTGGGGCTGTGGATCTCACCGGTGGGGTCTTCCTCTTGGCCAGGAAGTTCCTCAGTTGCGCCTGCTTCACAGGGGACAGTTTAGCTGCAAGAAATGCATGAACCCATAAATGCTTAAAATTCAGGCAGCAGATGAAAAAAACCCAAGAGTTAAAGGGCTGGGAAGGATGCACTTACCTGGTACCTTCGGCAAGGGTTTGGTGTGGGATTCGATGGTGGTTTTCAATAAAGCATTGCGTAGGCTTTCCAGGTCACTGTCAAAACTGACATCGGCTAGTGTTACCATCAAACCAACTACTTCTGGAAAACCTGAGGGGCCAGTGGGTGTGCTGTCATAATTACTAATGCGGGAAATGACAGCGTCCCTCATGCAGAAATGGGCAAGCTGACCCATCGACGAAATCCACCCCAAAGGGACGGCAACCTCATCACTACCACCACCCACACAGCAAACGCACTGACAGCGCTTCAGCAGAAACGGGGATGAGAATCGGCTCATTCGGGCTGCGCCCGAAAACACAAAACCGCCTCGGGAACTTCAAGGGCAAACTAGCTGCTACGGTCTGAACGTTTCCACACTCAAGCAAAATGACAAATCTAAGCTTTGAAGCAGGTAAGTCAGCCTAATTCTATCAGTTAATTTTCATTAAAACGATACTATTACTCTATAGTCTGCTGTCATCTCTGGAGCACCTGTTTCATCACACACACCACTGGGAGCTTTCTAGACTGTAACTCTTCAACAATCGCATGAGGCAGGTATTGTTATCCTCAATGTTTAAGCAAAGGTAAAGGTGTGGTTCAGTGGACTGAGCACCGGACTGAGGACTGAAGGGGTCCCTGGTTCAATTCCTGGTCAGGGCACACTTCTGGGTTGTTGGCCAGGTCGCCAGCTGGGGGCATGTGAGAGGCAACCAATCGATGGTTCTATCACACCCTGATGTTTCTCTCCCTCCTTTCCCTGCTTTCTAAAAAAATAAAAATCTAAAGGAAAAAAAAGCAAAGGAACAAAGGATCACCGAGGGCGAGGCACCTAACCAGGGTCACAGAGGTGACAGACAGCAGTCACTTTCAAAACCACACGTGAAGCACTTTAGGACAACTCCACCTTACTCCCAAATACGCATCCACTCAGCCACAGCCCCGAGTGCCCACCTGTGCGTCCTGCGCTGGGAGGAAACATCCGAGGGAAGGCTCCACTGTGGGGTGTGGTTATAAAGTCGCAGCTGCTGGAGGCTGTCCACGAGGTGGTTCAGCCTCTTCTTCTGCTGGTTGATGATCTCCCGATTGTTGGCCAGGGTGTTAAACAGCGTCTCTCGCTCCGGTACAAGCAGGCGCCTGCTCACAGCAATGAGAAAAGAACTCACTGTGAGCAGTCTGATTAAAGAAACCTCCCATGGGGTGGGGGCGGGGGAGTGAGAAGAATAAAACAAAGACCCCCTAGTGGATCAAAAGCATCAAGAAATTACTAGAACATAGCATGGGGACGAAAGCCTCAAGGATGAAATGTAACGAGGAAAGGCCAGGCCTACAGGCATAATCAGGCAAACCCCCAGAGAGGCTCCGGGGTAGAAAAGGGCAGGAGATGAGCCAACAACAGGGGACAAAGTTATTCAGCCATATACTTAGGGTGTGTGTATTTTTCTGTGTGTAAATTATATTCAATAAAAACAAAAAGCCTGGGTTCACCGCAAGTCCGCGGGAGTCCGTCACCTCTTCGCAGTGCTGCCAACAAACAGCGGGTAGCACACGACCTGGCAGCAGCGTGTGACCCACCCAAAGGACTACAACAAGAAAGGGACTGTTGTTCCCTTTCTTCCGGGTGGCAGGCAGTTGAAGATAGATTCAATAGGGTACAAGGTAATACTCAGAGAGAAACCTCAGACGCAGAAATGCTAGAAAATTGTATAGATTTAAGAATCTGAACTCTGCAAAAAGGGAACTAAAAAAAAAAAAAAAAAAAAAAGATATTACATAGTAAATGCATAGAACTGTCATAAAGGAAAAGAAAGCCAGGCTTCTGTTTTCATTATGTGTTTAAAAAAACAAATCCAACAACTTCTTAGTTAGCAGAGAAAAATATAACTGTAAGCAGAGCAGAACGGACATGCTGCCAGGTCAAGCCACCTGTCACATGTGGCTGAACATGAATCCACAGCAGGCGGGGAGCGTGAACTGTGAAATCTCTAATGGGGCTGAAGTGTCCAAGGGGACAGGTGCTCCAGGCCCTGGGCTGAGGAACTCTTCCCCAACCCGTGTCTGAGGGATCAGCTCTTACCTCTCTCACCCCTGCCCGTGTCCAAGCTGAGATTCCTCAGCTTGGGCCCACGGTCTTTACCACCTGATACAACGTAGCGTATCAAGTTCTCACCGAATTGTAAGCATGGTCTGGCCCTGCCCCTGACAGGGCGCCCAGGGCACCCCACTTAAAAGTTCTGCAATCCACCGGCTTACAAATGAGCAAACAGATCATTTCCTGGTTTGTTTCCTTACACAGCTAATCGCATTCATCAAGTGTAGGTGTTTGAGAAACTGAGCAATTTGGGGGCTGATCTGTTTTTCGCATTTCTTGTAGGCACCTGGCTGGTCCTACAATGTACTGCCTTCTATTCCTTCTGTTGTGCCTTTGATATCACTCCTCTCACCCTTCTAATTAGCCACACTAATCAGCAATGTCTCCTTAAAAAGAAAACTTGGAATACACAAAAGAATATACAGAAAAAATTCCTCTTAACCCCATCTCGCAGCTCTATCTGTGAATATTTGACAGGTTTACTCCCAGCCTCTTTTCTATGTTTAGACTTCACTTTGAGATCACTCAGTATTTTATGTCTTCCCTGCTTCATATTTTATGTGTCTAATAATAGTGATATAATTATGCATCTTGTACATTCTGTGTAACATAAAAGATATATTTAATATGACTTTCTTTTGAGGACATGCTAGTCCATGGTTATGTTGGTATTAAGGAAAAAAAAAGGGACCAAACTTATTGAGCCAATCCTCTAACTTCTGGACAGTGAGGTTCCATCCAAGTTTTCACCATCATAAGCTGTGCTGTAATATAAATTCTTTTACGTAACTGTTGTGAACACTGCTATTATTTCCGTAGAACAAATAGCTAGAAGTAGAAAGACTGGATCAATAAGAATGAACATTTTAGGGTTTTTTAATCAACGTTCCTAAATCATCTTTTCGAAAGGATGTAACGCTATCTCCTGCCACCTGCGGGGGATGAGACAGAGCAGCTCACTTTTGTTTTCTCTTTTGCTCCAGGTGCTGATCCCACTCCAAGTCGAGAACATCATTCACATCTTGGACAGCAAATTTCACATACTGATGAAGGCGCCGAATTTCCTACAAGAAAAATATAAAAATGACTCAGTTTTCCAGGGGCTTGGAGGAAGATGTATCAAAACAGTCAAAACAATTTTGAATTGTTTTATACTGAGAACCATAACAAGCAAAGAAAGCACACTAGGCTTTAATATAATTGTCAGAACATTATAATCCAAAGGCAAACCAGAACCACAACTTTCTGTGAGTGTGGCAGAGGCGGGGTGAAGAACAGAAGGCGCTTGGGCACGGGGCCCCAGGGAACAGATGTCCTGGCCCTGCTCTCGCGGCCCAGACCCTCTAACGTGTCCCGCTGTGGGCTGGGGGTGGTCCCTGAGCTCTGGACTCTGACAGGGCATCCTTTTAGTTTTTGCTCTCCCACTCATGGGATTAACTGCACTATCGACAAAATTATCCTCCAAAACGGTGCTGAAAATAATTCCGAACCTATCTATTCATAACACAGAACACAGAAGTCACCTCATCAATTGACTCATTTCTTCTCCAAAACACAAAATAGTATCAGCACTAGAAATAGAATTTTTCATTAAAATTCTTACCTATTTTAGGTCTGTAATAATTTTTTTAAAATTTTGATCCAGTGTTAACCTTCATGGCAATACAACTTGACTCTCAAAAATTAACGATAAAGATGAAGCAGTCCATTAAATATGTACACAAATGAAGACAATGAGTATACACTGGGAAAAGCTCTCTGCATCGGTACAAAGCTCTTACTGTGTCTAAATGCATTTTCACAGTTATTCTGGGATAAGGGTATATGTCCCAACTGAAAAAGTGAAAATATCATTTAAGGAGAGCCAGGCTGAGCAGCATCAAGCATAAGTTCCAGCTGACACGTGACTACGGGGAGGCCTTTCCTCCGAACGCGCAGACCCAGACCCCGCCGGGCTTCTGCACCCCAGCTGACGCTGTTTCTCCTGGACGTCCTCCTGACCTCATCCACGAGAAGAAACAACTGCTCTTTTCAGGCTTGTCACTGCCACCTCTTTTCTGTGGCACAGCTGCCCCCTTGCCTGCAATCCCACGGCAGCATCCTGTATACTGAGATTGTGTGTGCTCCTCTGTCCCTCCGCCACGTGTCCAGCTGCAGGGCCTGCACGTGGCAGTGACGGGGTTAAGAGTGCCAGCTCCCAGCCAGACTGTCCAGGCTCAAGGGTCCAGCATCTATTGGTGGTGAGACTTGTATACTCCTAGTATCTTTCTTTCGTACATGACACGCACTCAACAAATGCTAGCTACCACGCGCTATTTAGCACTGTGAAAGAAGGAAATGATTTCCTTTTGAACGGGGAGTGTTGCCCAAAAGCGGTATGCTTTTCTTTGAGTTTGGACCCAGAGCAAGAGGTGAAAAGGCAGTTGGAAGAAAGTGTAACTAGATCCAACACGGGGCTGTAATGTGATGAGTGGAAGGCCAGTGGCTGGCACTCGCTTGCCGAGAAAGCTAACACCCACAACAGGAGGAAGGTCTAGGAGTACAAGGGCAGGGGACACAGCAGGGCTGCTCAGCCTTCCTGGGAGGAGGAGGTATTTCTCTCATTTCCCTTGCCCATCAGAGTGTCAGGCGTGGGCTGGGGAGGGGGTGGATCTTCCGGGCAGGAGCGGGCTCCGCTCACCCCCAGGCCCTCGAGGCCTGGGTGAGGGGGACCGGCACTGCCCCGGGCCCATTCCCACACGGAGTCCAGGCAAACACACGCGAGTGGGAGAGGACCCCCACCAGAGCTTGTGATGCACGTCTGGAGTAAATGGAAAGGGGAAAAACGAAGCCAGATCTCACAGAGACAGAGGGGAAGAACAGCGACCACGCAATGAGAAGCGCAGCGCTGCTGAACGACGGCGCGCGGGGAAGAGCCCGGGCAGGCGGCACCCCGGTCTGGCCCCGCTCCTGCCGCCACCCTCACCTCAGCACGCCCCCGAGCCTACGAGGCTCACCTCCCCCACCTGCACAATGGGACCAGAAGCTCTCGCCCTACAGAGCAGCCAGCTTTGAACACTAGAAACAATAGGAAAAAACACCACGGAGAGTACCTGGTGCTCCGCGGGTGGTTGGTACTTTAATAATTATTACTCATGACTTGGTTTCTAAATAATCTTTTTCCAAAGCATACCTTCTACCGAGCTTAAGGTTTAATTAAGAATTCTGTTTTCGTTTAACCCAAAAGGCGTTACATGGAAGAGCGCCATTTCCTCTGTGACAGTTGAGGAAGTCTACGGGAAGGAGGTAAATTATGCACGGGACGTGAACAGCATCATAAGGCAGCCGCCCAGCCGCATGCCTCGAACGGGAGAATGGCCCAGAAGCCCGCTGAGGGCGCGCTCCGGCTGGGCTCCCCTACCTGCAGCTGAGCTTCGCTCTTGGGGTCCAGGGGTCTCTTATAGAGCAGATGCAGGTACCCAGAGTCACGGTTTCTCTCATTTTGTTCTCTGGCTTCTTCAACTCCAGCAAAGCCCTCAAGCAGAGTGGTCTTCAAGGTGCTTATATCTCCATGAAGAGACTAGAAGGTATAAGGATGTATTTACACAAGAAGTGGTTATTTCTAAGAAATGAACCCTTTTGGTTCTGCATCAAGGAAGGTGGCGCTTTCTCAAATAGTTAACATGGTGAACATCTGAGTACAGCTAACAGTCATGCGGAAAAAAAAGGAGCTTCACTGCTTAAAGAGAAATGTACCAATGCTCATTTTTATCTTTTTCTTGTTATTCTTTAAATTCTTTCCCTTTTTTTTTTAGTCTACCAATATTCATTTTAAGAACATTATTTTTCTTCCTCATTAAAAAACATTCCTAATGATAAGAACTCAGAGAGTAAGAACAGCACTGACGGTGCAGAAGCCCTGCTAACGGAAGACCAGCACTGCTTACACCCGGAGACCTTCCCTCTGTCCACACGACATTTAAGCAAGAGCTCGGGGCCAGACGGTGGGACCTGGGACCCAGGAGCTGGCACTCCGTGACTGAGTGGCTCTGGGCACCTTGCCTCGCCTCACCTCAGCCTCAGCTTCCAAACTTGTAAAATAGGAAGACTAATAGCATCCACCACGCTGGACAGTTGTGAGGATTTGAGGAGACAACACAGGTGAAGTGCTTAGCACAGCGCCTGGCACACAGCAGGGGGTAACAGCAGTAACACAATAATACTATTACCAAGAGCTATTTGGTATTTTTATACTATATACAGTCTTAAGTGTTCTGCTTTTTTTCACACCTAAGACTTTACTATAATCTAACAATTTACCACAAAAGCAAATTTTCAAATATATCGAAACTAACAATGTCCAACATTTGAGGAGTGCCCTGTATGCACCAATGGGGCAGAAACTATTACCGTTCCATTCCCACTAGAAAACCAGAACAGAGCAGCTGGACTGACTTGCCCGAAGTCGCCTAATTAATGAAGTGCTAAAGGCAGGACCTGAATTTAGGCACGCCTGTGTGAGCGACACATACATGCCGACACAGCCCTGGTGGTGCTTGAAGAGAAAAGTGTGCGCCCGCGGAGGACTAGGAGCACAACTGTGAGAAGCGCAACTTGACTTGGGAAGACTGTCAATAAACACAAACCTCTGTGGTCTCTTTAATCTCCAAAAGAAAGGTGTGCAAGTCATCTGACTCTGTCCGCAGCATCTTCATCTCCTCAGTGGTGCCCACCTGGAAACAGGCTTTTGAAGTCCGCGCTTTCAGGTCTTCCAGCTCCTTCTGAAAGTGCGCGATCTGCGGAAGCCACACATAAGGGGGCCTCTCAGCCTGAGCAGTGCAGCAGGGGTGTCCCTGCTGCTGAGCTCGGGCACAGCACAGGCTCCCGGGACACGCCCAGGGTCACTGCCAGAATAGAAGTCTTGCAGGAGCCCTGGCCAGGCGGCTCAGCCAGTTGGAACATCATCCCATACACCGAAAAGGTCCTGGGTTTGACCTCCGGGCAGGGCACAGACCTAAGTGGAGGGTCTGATCCCCAGTTGGGGCGTGTGCGGGAAGCTAACAATCGATGTTTCTCTTTCACACCGATGTTTCTCTCTCCCTCTCCCCATTCCTCTTTTTCTAAAATTAATAACCATGTTCTTAGGTGAGGATTAAAAAAAAAAGTCATGTAGGAGTCTACACACCCAGAGCCAGTCAAGTCCCCCTGTCAGAGCTATTTCTGGAAAAAATATGCAGGAGCAAATTTACCTCCTCACCAATTCCAACCATCACAGGATCTGACTCTTTCCACTGATGTCCCTGCTTTTCTGTAACAGGAGGCGGAAGTGATTTTGCCTGAAATGGAAGGCAGAAGTGTAAAAATGCACCCAATACCCCCAGTTACGCCTTCCTGAAGCAGAGGATTCGATGCCTGTCACAGGAAGTGGCGCTCCCACAATACAGTCACTGGTCACTCATTCTTCTGAACCCAAATTTACTGGGTATCTACTTGGTACAAGGCATGTTTAGAAAGCGGAGACAGAAGTGAACAGGAGACATAAAGTCCCTACGCTCATGGAACTTAACTCTCTACTGGGGAAAAGGCGAATAATAAAAAGTAAACACATCCGATAAATTACAGCTGGCGATTAAGTGATATGGAAAAAGTAATCAGGAACATATGAAGAGAATAAAAGGGGGGACTCCTTGAGATGAGATGGCCCAGAAAGCCCTCACTAAGTGCTGCCTCTGAACTGACGCCCAAAGAGGAGGAGAAAGCTGTGGAAAGTTCTGGGGGAATCATCTGCAGGGCAGCGAGAAGAGCAAGTGCAAAGTGGAGGCACAAGAGACCTTGGCATGTCTGAGGCAAAGAGACCGTGTAAATGCGGGCACAGGGTGGGCTCGGAGGGAGCTGGAGGCAGGCGGGCCCGGATCACGTGCAGCTACAGCAGGGAGTTCGGATTTTACTCTAAGTGCGTTGGAAGGCTACTAGTGAAGTTTTAGGAGAGTTTAAACTACTCTTTATGATTTTAAAAGACCCCCTTGCCACAGGGATGAGACAAGAACGGCCTGAAGTACGACATTAGCAGGGGGACCCGAGATGTGGATGGATGACACACGCCACACCAGCGTGGCGCTGAGAAAGCTGCTAGTACAGACGGGGGAGGGGCTCCGGGTCGGGGCTTGGGCAAGCACCTGGCTGTGCTGTTTACTGAGATGGGAACGCTAGGAAAGACGCAGGCGCTGCGAGAGACAGGAATCAAAAGAGTTCTGCTTCAGAGATGTTGTAATTTGAGATGACTTTTCAATTACTTGATACCTACAGTGATTAACATACAGTTTCTTAGAATGCATAACTCTTCATTAAAACAGCAAGCGCTTATTGAACATATACCGCATGTCACGCATTATGCTCAAAGCCAGACCTGTAACCTGGGCATTCACTGTGTGCCCCGTACTGTGTGTTGAAGGCAGGAAGGGGGTCGGTCGGAGGAGAGACGGAAGGGAAAGACATGACCCCTATTCGGGGTGCACTCAGAGAACCGAGCGGGCACTGGCAGAAAACTGCCCTTAAGTTAAACCCTAACATGATCTGAGATGACAGAATGAAGATCTAAATATGAAAAATAAAAATACTTTTAGGAAGACATAGGAGGGGAACACTTTGTAATGTGTGCTATCTAACCACTATGCTGTACACCTAAAACTAATACAAAATAATACTGAATGTAAACTGTACTTGAAAAATACAATTTTAAAAGAATGTAGAACATCTTTTTGACCTTGGAATAGAAAGTGATTTCCAACACAGAACACAGAAGGCACTAATCATAAGAGAAAAACTGATATACTGGACTATATTAAAATTAAGAACTTGTAGTCATCAAAAGAAACCACAGAAAATAAAAGGCAATTCACAGACTGAGAAAGTACTTACATTATATGTGTGCATATGCATGTGTATATATCCAACAAGGAAATAACTCTCGTAAGTCAGTAAGAAAAAGACAGAACACCCAATAGAGAAACGGGTAACAAACTTGGACACCCATAAAAGATATTGACACGGCCAATAATCACATGGGAAAGAAGCTTGATTTTACTGGTCATCAGGGAAATACTAATTTAAACCACAAAGAGTATCAACAATAGAAGAAGAAAAATACCAAGAGTGGTGAGGATGTGGGATAGCTAAACTCTCAGATGCTCCTGGGAAATTACTGGAGAAGAATAAATGCATATTCAACGACCCAGCAATTCCACTCTTAGGTATCTGCTCAATAGATACATACACACTTGTTCACCCCAAAACATCAACTAGCAACACGACCCACAGTAACTTAAACCTGGAAACTACTCAAATGTCCACCGAGGGCAGGAGGAACATGAGCAGCATAGCCCCCCAGTATGATATGCGTAAACCTCACACACATAATGTTGAGCAAAACAGCCAGGTAAAATAATATGTACCGTGTGATCCCATTTATAGAAGGGACAAACAGGCTAGACTAAGCTCTGCTGTAAGAAACCGTGATAATTGAGCTCAGTTTGGCAAGAGTAGTGACTAGAAGGACACACGTGAGGGGGAATTCTGGGGTCCTGGTCATGCTCCGTTTCTTAATCTGAGTGTCGGTTACCAAGATGTGTCCAGCAGATGGCAATTCACTGAGGTATGTGTGTCCCAAATGTGTACCTGTATTATATGTCAGTGAAGACCAAGTAAAATAAACTGAGATGGTAAGGGAAAAGGGCACTAGATGGATTTCTCGACTGCTCTGAGGACAAGAGAAAACGTCAGACGCCAGAGCCTTCGCAAGCTTCGGGGAGACGGAAGGACAGTGCGGGGAGCACGAGCTCCAGAACCAGCCGAGAAGACAATGCACAGGCTCTGGACTTGAGATAAATGGCTTTTATGAGCACATATTACAAAGAGTCAAAACTCACCTATTTCCTATCACATCATCCTAAGTACTATTTCAAAAATGTAAATTCTAAACACAAAATCCCATTTTATAAATGTGTCCATTTGGGGCAGTACAGTAATAAACACGGAATGATGAGCTCTGATGACACGTACCTGGGGACAGCCTGACTTCGCCACCGGAGGGGTTATCCTGGGTGACTTCTGCCCCACTGAGGGCGCCACACCTGGACCGCCGTGAGCAGCTCGCCCTGCCCGAGTAAGACACCAGTTAAAACAGACCACGGTTACCCCCGCTGCCTCTCCCCTCACAAAGGGGCTTCCCCCTAATTTAAAAAAAAAAGCTTCTCACTGTCCCGGTGCCTTTCCTGACATCCGTTAGCATGAGTGGTGTCCACAGTTGTGTTAGTCTGTCTAACACAACCAGGACACGCGTTACATGTTCAGATGTGAAACTCTTTTGTGAAGCAGACAAAACTAGAGCATCTTTGGCAATGGGGAGGTATCCTCATGGGCGGGTCTAGGGGGCTGGTCATTCGGCCCGTCCTTATTCCCTAGAGGCTCCTGAGGCGCCTCTGGGAACGGGGGACAGTTTGAAAACCATGAAGTGAGAACAATAATCCCCATCACCTCATAAGAACTCATAGGGTCTCCGGGCCCTCCTGGAAGCCTCTAATGCAAATCTCACCCTCCTGTGCATTAGAATCACCTGGGGAACTTTAAAAAAAATAAACATGCTCTGGTCAGGTGGCTAAGTTGGTTGGACTGTTGTCCCATACACTAAAAGGCTGAGGGTTCGATCCCTGGTCAGGGTGCGTACAGGAGGTAACCCATCGATGTTTTTCTCTCACATTGATATTTCTCTCTCTCTAAAAAATTGATTTAAAAAATCCTGGGGTGAGGGTAAGAAAAAGAAAAGGTAATTTGAAAATTCAGGACAGAGCTCTAAAACAGTTTACTTAAAACCACACCTGATGCTGAGGGAGAGGCTGAGGACTTCGGGGCCATGGAGCCAGACGGTGCTGCCAGGGGCGTGGGGTGGCTGAGGGGCCCAGAAGCAGCCGGCTTGGAGGCGGAGAACGGCAGCATCGGGGGCGTGCTCTGGGAGCCGTTAGCAGGCGCCGGGGCGGCCACGGCAGTAAACCTGCAAACGCAGCCCGAATGTGTCAGGAGAGCCTGCTACAGGTTCTTTCACGCTGGTTGCAAGCAAAGTCATCACAGCATAACTCGCTATCCCCTTCTTAGCCCTCAGAAAATGTACCTGTTTAGCTATTTCTTACAAAAGGCGAAAGCTGCAAGAAAGCACTGATCTGATCTTCCGCTTATTTAGGAACAAATTAGTCAATGAAAATATCAGATACTTAATATGAACATGAAACTAAGTTTATCATGATACAAAGTATCCTATGGAGCTGAGTAAAATAGAGGGTGGGACTCAATTATACCTCATCTTTTTGCAAACAAAATTATTGAGAGCTCATTTTGGGGTGATCACTTCCTTTGAGTGAAGGGTTAGGACGAAAGCAGGTCACCCTCTTTGGGATGTTTACAGTCTACAGGGAACATCGGTCCATTTCACCTAAAGAGCAGACATCTGTAAACAATCTAAATGTCCAGCAACAGATGACTGGGAAAATAAATTAAAGTGCAGCCACAAAAGGGAACACTAGGCAACTATCAGCAGGAAGTGGCTGCGTGACAATACAACATCAACAGTGACGACGGCGGCAGTGGTGTGACAGCAGCCAGCACCGCCTCCGCAGCAACAAGAGTCTGGACGTGGCGGCGAGTGGCGTGCTCACGTGCGACGGTCAGTCTGGGAAGGGCTCGTGGTGCAAGCAATCCCTCCCCTCAAGAAGCTCACGCCTCACGGGGGAGCCGCGCCAGCAGCTGAAGGGTAAAACGAGGGACAGGAGCTGGAAGGACCCGGACCTGGAGGGAACTGGACCCCCCGCACTCGGGCGCAGTGAGAAGCCCTGGGGCTGTCAAGCAGGAGTGTCATCTGATGTGGTAACCAGTTCATGGGGTCCCTGGTGGCCGAGAGAGGCCAGGGTGGACACAAGAGGAAAAGGACTGTGAGAGACACATTTCCCTCACAGGGTGTGCATTCTGCGTGGCTCCATTTTAAAAAATGAGGAATATCTCCTACATTTGAAGTCTGGAAAAGCAAAACAAGTATTTAAATATAAACCTTTAATAATTTAAAAAGAAATTCTAAGAAACCTTTCTGGATGCTGTCCACTGATGAAATGCAAACCTTTTATAGTGTTTGAATTTTTACCACTTGCTAGCATTACTCTGGAGAAAAGTGAAAACAACAAGAACAGCACCCACCCGCTCTGCAACCCCGCTCCCCGGGGCTGCGCCACTCACTTTTCATTAAGGTTGGCCTTGACGGCGGAGGTGGAGGGCGGGAAGGAGGGCTTCACTCCCATGTTTGCAGGGGATGCACTTGGCACCGGCGTGCTTTCCAGGGTCGGCTTAAAACCCGATGATCCAAAGGAGAACGAAGCAGCTGTGGGTGCCATGGGAGAGGCAGCAGGGGTGGGCACCAGTGGGGCTTGAGGAGGAGCGAAGGAGAAGGTGGCTGTGCCGGAGCCCACGGACACTTTGGAAGTGTCAGAGCCACTGGGGTATGGAGGGGGCTCCCCAGTGACGGGACCAGATGATTTTAAGGATGGCGAAGAACCAAAGGAGAACACGGAAGGGGCTCCCACAGCAGAGGGCAAAGAGAAGGTGGAGGCGGGAGCCGCTGGCAGTGACGCTGGGACAGAAACCGGGGCCGCGGTGGCTGACAACTCGGGCTTCTGTGGGACCGGCGAGGTCGGGGTCGTGGGAGTGCTTCCTGCAACGAGAAAGCAGGACAAATATGGGAGGAGTTAGCACGGTCACAGCAGAAAGAGAGCGAGAGGGGCTCGTGGTAGAAGGAAGCCAGAAAGAAAGGCCCTGGTTCAAGAAGGGAAAATAAACAGCGGACACAGAGTTGCTATGGCACGTTCCACAGTAACCGTTCCATATAGGACTGCGCAGCTCTGGAGGGAAAAGGAAACAGGGAGAGACCGCAGAAGTCATTCTGCAACATTTCACTAAATCTGGAAAAGTTTCAGTTCAGCTCTCTAATTCCTAACAGTCACTAAGAGCAAGTTCAGATGAATTAAAGATATACATAAAAGCACACATACACTGTATCTCAAAACAAATGAGGCAAAAAAGTGACTTAAGTCTGAGAGTCTAACTTAACTAAATTTAGAAGTGACAAAATAAATTGCAAAAGGAAAAGATGAAGATCTGACTATATAAAAAGTAGTTATGTAACTGAAAGGTAAATGAAAAAAATCTGCAGTTAAGAGCTCATACAAATCGAGATTTAAAAATTTGAAGACTCTAATAGATACAAGCTAGGAAACTAATTCACAAAAAGTAAATGTATTTAATCTCTCCAATAAAAGAAAGGTAAATTTAAATGAGGCACAGCACTGTCCTTTAGACTACCAAGATTTAAATATTATTTCCTATGTTTGGAAGGGTAAAAGGAACCGGAAACTTTTTATTACTAACAGGTACCTAATTTAGCAGTCTTTAAAAAAACTTTTTAGCATTATGTCTCAAAAGTCATAAAAAATGGACCCAGTAAACTCATAAGAATAAGACCTACGAAAATAATTTTTAAAAACAAAAGATATTTAATGCAACCCAAATGGTAAAAAATATTCAATGGAATATTAAGCACTCTTTTAAATGAATCTTGAAGATTGCATAAGAATCTGGAAAATGCTTACAATTGAATTTATAAACTTGCATACAATGATACATAAAATATGAACAGAAACTATGAAGAAAGAAAGATGTGTATAAAAAGAGTGAAAGAGAATACCCCAAAAGACAGGTTTAGAGGTTTTTCTACTTTCCATATTCGCTATAAAGTGAGCATGTTCATGTTCTAAATTAAATAACTAAAAAAGCAGTATTTTTTATCGATACATTTATATTAATGGGCCTTGGTTCCCCCAAATTTTTGAGATGACAGCCTACCTCACTACGTCTAAAGTAATGAAGTGCTTAGGGTACAAGTGTGAAAACACCACTTTCTGTATTGTCACTTCCATGAGTATGACAACACATGCAGATCTCTTCGGTTAATACTTCTTTTACACAATAAGCAGGGAACCAGCAACAGGTAACTTCTTCAAAAGACACACGCCCATAATGTAATCTCTTCCATGCATGTTCGGCAGACTGACATGATAAGTATATTCCACTGAAAATAAAACTGAACCTTTGAAAGCCACCACACTGCTACTGACCATTCAGCCCCGTACCCTTGGGCACAGGTGGAACCACTAACACCTTCTGAACCCTCGACCAGGCTGCAGCAGGAGCTGGCGAGGCCCCTCCTCCCCATCCATGGCTCTCCCACGCACCCGAACATGGCAGCTACCTCTGGACCGAGCGCAAGGGCAGAGGACGTTTCTCTAGGACAAGCCCACAGTGACACTGCCTTTTCTCGTGCCTGGGGGTTTAACGGGCCAGCAGCAAAGCCCTCCACACCGAACTGGGTTCAGAAACACACGCCCCCCAGGTTCTGCCATTCCAGGCCGCACTGCTTGTCACAGGCTGACCAGGCAAGCAGGTGCAGGTGGTCCATGGTACTCACACCCACCGACAGGGAGGACACGGCTCAGAGCACACACGGCAGACAACGAGGCATCCCATGCAACGACACTGGTCTGTCCTATGCAAGCCACCAGTTCACTGCTTAGGGTGGTACTGCCAATGGGCAGGAGCCCACGTATCTGGCTCCGCTGACAATGTACCACTCACTCTGTATTAGGAAGCCATGAGAAAATATCCTCGAAGCATCGCCAACCTTACCCAACCCAAATGGTCCATGTACATTTTCTTAGATGTGGAACTGGTTATGCTATAAGCATTTTTAGCCATACTAGGAGAGAAATTCTTAATAGCTATATACTCATAGAATTCAAAGAGATTAGTGGAACTTCAAAATATGAAACAATCCACCCTTTTAAAAGTTTTATATTGTGTTCTCAGATATGATACAATTAATACTATGAAAAATTTGAAAATACAAATCAGCATTTGTACATGTGCATTTATGCACATGAAGAACATGCACCAAAATGCTCACTGTGGCTGTGTATTCATGGTAAGCTCTTAAGTGAGAATTGCTTTTGTATTTTCTAATCTTTCTCCGATATGCACAGATTACTGAAGTAATATTTTAAAGAGAAGAAAAGAACCTGAAGAAAATTAAATATAAACAAAAGAAAATAAAATGACCATGTTCCCACAACCAGAAACAACTACTATTTGGATTTTAAATCCATCTTTCAAGTATTTTTTCCACGTACATATTCTTCTCAGAGAAAAAAGATCATACAGTGTATAGTGCTTTTCCTGATGCAGTCCACTAACTCTCCTCTTGTCCATATACATCATTTGCAATAGTTAGATGGCACTCACTATATGAATGTACAATCGTTTACTTAACCAAGCCCCATGGTTAAACATGTGTGGAGGATTCGGACCTTATAGCAGGACACTGTTGGTAAACTACCTGACAGGTCCATCTGGTTCAGCTTCCTTTTCCTCTACAGCACAGTACACACTGAAGAACAAAGCTCGTGAGTGAGGAAGGCCAGTACGTGGATGTTTGTTCTAGGGAAAAACCGCTGCCTGACGCAGTAAGACAGGCTGTCCAGGCAAAGGCAACTACACGTTCTTGCGCACTCCACCCTTGGGAAGAGGCCAGCTCCAGCCCCCCCGGGGGTCCCCCTCTGCCATGCTCGGGGGAGACGTACCTGACGACTTGGGCTGTCGCTCTCCTTCCAATGAGAGCCGCTCGGGCGTCTTGATGAGGGACCTAACCCCAGGATTTTGATTGATCATATAAAATGGACAAAGCACACCATCTGTTGAGAGCAACATAAGAACTGGAGCAGGTGGAAGAGTCTTCTCCTCATCTGTTAAAAAGAGAAAACCAAAGTGAGAAGAAGCCAGTCCTTGGCAGGGCCTGGCCTGGTATGAAAGACGGCCAGAAGCCAGGAGGGGCTTAGAGGTCTCGCCCCAGCCATGGCCCATCAGTCTGATCGCAACAGGCTCTCCTGCGGCCGCCCCTTCCAGAGGGCTCCTGCTGCGACCGCGTGGCCTCCGTCCTGCCAGCCTGCCCGGAGGCGGCTCTGCCACGGCTCTGCCACTCCCAACGCTCCCTGGGTTTGAGCGTCCCGCTGTTCGGGAGGCAGGCTCAGCACTCTCCTGACTGAGACAGCAGTCTCTAGGAAGTGGCTGGTGCAGCAGAAAGATGACACACGAGACTCCTCAGGACGCACACAGCAGGACACAGAAAGGTGAGTCCAGCTACGTCACCTTCACTCGCAGCCGAATCACAAGCGAGGACTTCCAGAGAGGCCGAGTACAGAGCTACCCTCAGACCACATGGCTTGACCAGAGCAAGGGAGAGGCAGGGACGGTGCCGGACTGGACACCCCTCTAACGGAAGCTCCCACGAGTATGACTCCCGCTGCACCTGCACATTTCCCGGGGCACAGCTCCGCCCAGCTAGGGGCCACATGCACTGCACACACTCGGGCCCAGTTCAGGAGCCATGCCCCTGGGGTCTGTCTCTAATCCCTGCCTTCAACCAAGGGCTGTTCTGCGGTACCAGCCCAGGGTGCTGCTCCCTTGGGAGGTCACTGGGGAACTGGAAAGGGCAGAGAAACAAAACACGGAAATCCCCTGATGTTCTGGACCCGTCACATTCAAAAGAGTAAAGGTATACACGGATGCCCAGTGGGTCTGGCCTCGGCCTCATCCATGTCTGTGCAAGTGAGTTCAGTGCTGTCACGTATCCTCTACACTGCTCTTCAAAGAGCCATGTGCTACCAGAGGTCAGAGTGTCCCGCAGAGGAGATGCCGTCACGGACACACAGAACGGGACTGAAATGTCAGACCTTCTGCCCTGAGCCCCATGGGCTGCACTTACTGATGGTGATTTCCACCTGGTTAGTATAATCTATGGCGACTCCCACAGGCAAGGAGTCATCATTCTTGTCTGTCACAGGCAGTTCAGCTCGACTAGAATCCTCCAGCAGCCAAGATTCCCAATTAATCTGAGAAAAGAAAAAGAAGAAAATGCCACATTGGAGCTTGGGCACGGGCTCCTCCCAGCACTGCTCAAACATGAGAGAAGACAACAATGCGGTCGGGTTAGATTTATGTGCGGGCTGAGGCTCGGAAACCCAGGGAGGTGGTCTGAAAGCCCTGGGCAATCCACGAAACAAGGGGTTGATTTTCCCAACCAACCAAGTCCCTGCCTTGTGCCTAAATACTACCTACCATCCACCATGGCAAGGGAGTCCTGACCTTGCTGGGTAAACACAGGAGCAGCCCTAAGCCAGTCATCCCTGCTCCGAGAAGCCTGGGGTTGCGACCAGGACCCCCAGCGATCCCTGCTGTGGTCCTGAGCAGAGACGCCTATAACACTGGGCAGATGCCTGTGCTCACTGGCCCACAGAAGGAGGTAACCCTCGTTCTCGTCTTCCCGGTTCCTGGCGTGAGTTCCCCGTGTGGGCCCATGGGCCTGCCTCTGACAAACCATTAAGTCTTTCCCAATACACTCCCCTTTGCCTTAAGTTTGCTTGCGTGGGCTCTGTCCCTTCCAACAAGTGATTTCTGATTTTTAAAAATCACAAACATTTTTTTCTAACTTTCAGCACTGACCAAAGGTGGGCAATATGACTCCAAGGGGAACAGTGTTCAATGAGGAACAAAGAATAAGGAGCTGTTCAGGAAGGGAACATAATCACACTCCATGACTTAGCTGTAGAGTGAGTAACAGTCACTTTCAAAATAATGTAAACAAATTGGACTTCAACTTTGAAAAACAATCTCCAGACAAAATAAAGACTTAATGAATCACAACAGAACACACTGCAAACGGTATCAGTTTTGATACTGCGGAAGACAAGCTGGACAGCGGGGTTGGGGAAGGTGAGCTGAAGGCAGGGTCGGGTGCTGAGACACTCCACTCCCACGGTGGCCCGAAGTGGAAGATTAAGTAGAGTGTGTGGAGACCATGAGAAATGAAGGTAAAAATATGAAGTTACAGCCCTGGCTGGTGTGGCTCAGCGGACTGAGTGCTGGCCTGTGAACCAAAGGGTCGCTGGTTTAATTCCCAGTCAGGGAACGTGCCTGGGTTGCAGGCCAGGTCCCCAGTGGGGGATGCATGAAAGGCAACCACACACTGATGCTTCTCTCCATCTCTTTCTCCCTCCCCTTCCCCCATCTCTAAAAATAAATAAATAAAATCTTTAAAAAAATATATGAAGTTACAAAGGTAACCATAGAAGAAACTAAGTGTCATAGCCCCACTGAGAAGATGGAGGGGGACGTGAGCTAACTCCTCTTCTGCCATCACAGCCAGTCGGCCTCAAAAGAATGACTAACTGGCAAAAAAGCAAGTTATTTTTTTAGGCATAAGGAGGTAACCATTAGATGAAAAAATTTACAAGTCAAAAATGGTCTCCTCTAGAGAACAAAACTGGATTGGGATGGGGTGAAGCTGGGGTGATTTTTTTCATTTATAATCCCTGCTCCATGTACATAAATTATTTTGATAAAAAGCAAAGATAATGGTATATTTTTAATGTGTAAATACATAAAATATTTGTCTGTTATGAAATTGTTACTGAGGTCAATTCAAGAACAAATTGGACTGCTGAACTCTGACCCATGACCCCAAAATGGCCCACCTGACATGATGATAGCCATGCACTTGGAGTGACAGCTCTGCCACCCAGTGACGAACAAATGTTGGATGGGTAAAGAGCCACAAGTTATATATGTGTATATATGTGTATGTGCACAAAACATTTTTAAGCTCAAGGCAAAGTTTGGAAAACAAAAGTTTCCCTTTCACTGTCTGTCCTCTGTAGGTTCTCTTCATAATCGACCACGGTTTAGGAGGCGTAGGCGTACTGCCACCACCTCGGCCCACCTCCTGCCTCCCAGGGGGACTGAGTGAAGAAAGGAAGGCAGGCTATTTATATGCACAGCATTCTCAGCTTTCAGGTCGTCTTTTGAAGAAAAACAGGAAGTATTTCTGGTCAGTGACAGTTTGGTATGACCTGCATGTTTCACTTCCATTATCAAGAATGGGTTATAGTCAATTGAATGGTAGGGGCAGGTTCAATAAGAGGAAGAAAATAAAGATGGTAAGACAGAACAAGGCAGGAAAAGCCTCCTACACATTCAGGTGTACTCTGGTTGGAGGCTGATGGCAGTGTGTTGAACCCACACGCCATGGGTGGGTCCTAAAAGAACAGGAACGCTTTTTACAACACCGAAGAACTGCTAATTCTGACACCTGTGTTTGTCCAGTGCAACATCCAAGCCATCTGGTCCAAGATACGTTGTTGCTTAAGCTTTGCTCTCACCCAGCAATTCATTAAAAGGGACGTGACCTCATCTAATTCTTAACCACAGAGTTAATTTCCTCCAAAATCTTTCTCAGAAAATGATCCATAAAAGTGACAAAAGAGAATAATTTACCTGATCGCTTTGTCGAGCAAGGATGCTAACTTCTGTCGAAGCCGCAGATGCTGCCAGCACCAAATCCCTTCAAAGAACAAACCAGAAGACTGTTAAGTCCTACAGCGCTGACCTGACTGAGTCTGGGGGAACGTCTATGAGACTGCCTTGAGGCGTCAAGGAGGACGTGGTTTCCTATATGGTTGAAGGAAGGCGAGAAAACTTTTAGATGTAAAACTCAACTCTTCAGTTCACAGGGTAAGTCCCTGGAGGCTCAGGGAACAGCCCGCCGACCTAAGACACAGAGACTCCAGCGGGAGGTCTGAGTAGGTGCGCCATCCTACCAACGGGGTAGCCCAGTGAGCGGGGCAGGAGCTCCGCCTCAGGTCGTCTGAGGGGAACTTCTGCTCTCAGGCGGCAACTTTATTATGTCCCTTAAATACAGTATTTTCATAAACTGTCACTGGGGTTATTAAGAAAAGGGAATTTTTTTAGATTAGCACATATTTGAGCTAAATAATTCAAGGCTGGGGAACTAAAGGAGTAGCGAGAAAAGCATTATCGAGCATCAGCTGAAATATGCTCAGGGGACCTTAAGCCTCCATTTTCCTCTCTTGCAGAAAAACATTAAACAGAAACAGTGACTCAGGTGTGAGCAGACCCCGCCCCTGGGCCCGCTCACCATTCCTCAATGTAGCTCAGGTAGTAGTGATGCTGCCTCTCCGTGCAGCAGCCATAGCAGGGCTCCATGAAGTTCACAAACACCTCTGGGTGCTTTTCTTCTTTTTTCTGCAATGAACAGAATAAGAAAATAACCTCAGGTGCAATATTTGTTTAATCCTATACAGTTAATGATCTCAAATAAGAGCATCATTTAAGTTTTGAGAAAATGTGCTCAAAAATCTATGTCCACGTGTATAGACATGATATAAAGGCAGCATTGAGAAGTATAAGGAAGAGGGATGGTGGCCATCAACCAAAATGAATTCAAACTGTCACTTTCTGGACGTTGGACAAGTGTGTACAGATTACTCCATCTCTCTGATACTCATTTTTCTCACATATGTGACATATCTACTAAAACTACATCAAAGGTTGTGGAAAGTATGAAATGAAATGACAGATATAAAGCTTCTGGCCCAGTACAAAGAACATCAGTACTCAGTAAATACATGCTAGTGGTGATATCATCCCCAGGAATAGACAGCTTGATCTTAATGACAGCTTGAAATAAGGAATACATTTAATTCGTTCCTGAGTTGCGTAATACCATTTCAGTCAACAACAGACAACACGTAGGACTGTGTTTCCATAAGATTACAATAAAGCTGAAAAATCCCTATTGACTAGAGACGGAACACAAACACCTTAGCCATCATAAAACTGCAGTGCAACACATTACACAAATACTTACCATTGCGCTACAACTGCCTAGAGTGTTCAGTACAGGGACATGCTATACAGGTTTGTAACCTAGGAGCTGTAGGGGAACAGAATTTGTTACCCTCAAATGTCTACTTGGCGTAAGGATTATTTTAAGCTGGTTAATTTTAAGGAACAGCAGACATGGAAGGTGCTCTGAAAGCCAAGCAGAAGCTGCCTTTGTAGAACATCTACCAGGGAAGTTTCCACTTGTTAGGGTGCTTCCCTTGCAGAAAGAGGGGACTGGCCTCGTCGCCAGGAGCCCTTGCCAATGCAGATGATCACAAATATCCGCACAACAGCCTGACCCTTTTCTGGTTACCTTCCGTAACTGGCTCACCTGACCTCAACATTTTCCTTTGTCTTCAGCTGAAGGTGGTATTTAAGGTGGGGGGACTCAACCATTTTAGCCAATTACTCAATTTTCCATGAATGCAGGAGGTAAACATGTTGTTAAATTTTTGTTTTTCTCCTGTTCATCTTTTATTACAGTGATGTCTTAGCCAAAAATGCTGAACAGCAGAGGAAAAATGACTTTTCCTCCCCTGTGGAGCAACAGGCTCAAGCACACAGGCTGGGTGTGTAGGAGGCTGGACTACGTGGGCTTGTGTAAGCGCCCAGTGCGTGACGGAGACGCATGATGTAGTATTTCTCAGAACGCAGTCCTGCAGTAAGGCGGGTGTGACTGTAAACACATTGTAAAAAGTCACTGTATCAGGAACCCGAAAGGGTTAAAAACAGAGTTAAAAAAATCTGTTCAAAGCCAATCAGGTTTTATTTGATAAAGAAAGATGCTTGCAATTTACTACTAAGTAAAACAAGGCTGCAAAACAGAAGGACAAGTTTAACTCCCACTCTTATTGTATTTAGACATTATGTCTGTATTGTCAAAAAAATGTTCTTCTGGACTTTCAGAACACTTGCTGGAAATAGGTCCTGCTCACTTGTTTTTTAGAACTCCACTGCGCTGCAGTGAGACTTGGTAGACAGCACCGTTCTTCTGCGTTGAAAACGGCCGCCTCCCTCACGTGCAGTCCTCTGCTCACACAGCTCCTCTCGGAGGCCTTCCTTGACCACCCGGAGGCCTTCCTTGACCACCCGTCCAGGCTGCCGTTCGCCCCTCCACGGAGCTTCATTTCCCGGTCACCCTCGTCATCCCCGGATCCTATGCTCACCCTTCGACCGGCACATTCATTAGAATGTAAGACCCACAGAAGCAAGAACGCTGTGTGCTTGGCTTTAAAGCAGCGCCTAACACACTGTAGGCATTTGGTACGCAGCTGATGCATACATAAGTGAAAGCATTTTAAAAATCAAGGCATCTTCTTGCTTTTCTAAAATGCCTTATCAGGTTAACATCTACTAAGACCCAGTTTAGAGCTTCGCAAAAGCAAGTTTTATGCTTTTTTCACCTTGTGACGGATGACAATAGAACAAGCACTATGCGGAAACCACACTGTGACTGCAGAACCAGCTCCAAAGGGCCCTGTCCTGATGAGACCCTGGGTTGCCTTCCAGAGACCACGGACCAACACCAGCGGTCATGCGCCGGAATGCATGCGGAGCAGGGAACGCTCCCTCAAGCTGGAACCAGTCTCACCCTCCTCAGGGAGCCAAAGGACCAAAACACACCAGGACCTGAAGACCAGAGCCCTGCCAGGAGCAAAGGGTCAGCTGTGCAGCAAGACCGGTGCTGAAGCCCCTTACGTATCTCATCATAAGTGGCCAAGTGCCAAAGGTCTCCGATCAAAACCCGCACAGCCAGAGCTTCTGTTCCCTCTAACCCTCAGTTTTTGCTTTTAAAAACCCTTAATTAAAAAAGCCACGTGGCAGTTCGGGGTTTAAGCTACAGCACCCCGTTCTCTGTGCAGGCGCCCTACACATGAAACGGCTTCAATTTCCCACTGCAAACTCCATGTTCAGTGCTTGGCTTTGCTGTGCATTGGGTGAGCAGACCCTCTGGCTCAGCAACATAATTTTCGTCTCCAGGCCAAGGGTGCAGTTTTGAAATTGTACACCTGGAGGTGCACCATCACTACAAGAAAAGGAAACTGAAGCTAAGCCTCAGACTTTATTCGGAGACTTCCATGATTCTCAAAGCACACAGACACCCTTTTCACATACACACCGGGAGCAGCGCCATCACCACATCTGGAGATGTCTCCAAGGACCCATCTGCAGCAGCGTACACGATCGTGAAGACATATGTACCGATCCACAGCACGTCTAGAACTGGAAGAACACACTCTGATAAATCACCTTGTTTGGAATAGCCCCTGAGTGTTATAAAATTAACATTTTATGGGGAAAAAAATCCAACTACTATAGCTTTAACCAAGGTCCAGGTTTCATTGATTACAAGCCCAAATTTATCCCAAAGTGGTGTTTTTTTCCTGATGGATTATAATCAGGGAAAATTATGAAGAATTCTCATTTAAAAAAATCAGGATCCATTTAATGCCAGCTGCCATGAAACACAGGTGTCTACCAGGAGATTACGGTCCCACTGACTGAACTACCGGACAGACACAGTGAGCATGTTCCCAGAGGGGCACCGGCATGTCCCTGAGCAGGGATGCAGGTACATCACATGATCTGAAATTTCTGTAATGCACCAGACGGCACTTAACGGAACGTCAGCCAATAAAAAAGCAGGTGTGTTACCTCGGACCGGATGGTCAGACTCATAAAACGGAGGACAAGGAATGACTTTTTTTTCCTGCAAAGTCTGAAAGAGATTAAAAAAAAAAAAGTGTCACATGAAACAATCCCCAAACCATTGAAAATGGCAGATCCAGTAGGTTCCCCTAGAAGCCACGTAAGTTTCTCCTCCCCAGCGAGGGTAGGCTGAACACAGGGAAGAGTGGAGGCCTACTTCTAGGACCTGACCCTACAGAAACACTCACAAACATGTTCAGGTGTAGGTAACGGGGATGCTCGATGCAACTCTACTTAGGGTAGCAACACCACTCACACCGACAGATAACCATCAATAATGGCATAGATGGATAAATTACGGCATGTCTACACATTGGACTACTACGTAGCCTCTATACAGTAAGTTGGAAAAAGGACTCCAATATCGTTTTTTTTAAAGACAGAGCAAACCAATAAAATTAAACCCACTGTATTATCTTTTTACAAGCTAATGCCCTAAAACAGGGACCAAATTTTGCACAGTAACTTTTTGTGGTAACAACAAAACCTCAGCCTCAAGCCTGCACCACAGCATTCACTGCTGTGCACCCCGCAGAGAACAGCACCTCCGGAGCTACAAATTACAGCGCAGGTCCGGGCATCGCCTGGGAACCCCTCCTTCCCGCCCGGGCTTGGCCAGACACATGGGATCTGTGAACATGTCAGGAAAACCACAGGGACAGGATGACACAGCGCACACGCACCAACACGAGCGTCCATTGGCTCTGTCGCCTAAGTTACAGAAACTGACGCTCTGCAATAGACTTGGCCAGAGGACAAACACTGCTTTCAGCAGAAGAGATTCTGCATCACAGTAAGAGCATCTACACCAACTCCTTTTCCCCTGAAGCTGTTTCTATGGAATGGACTGAAAACATAAAGTTGGGGAACCGTGTGTAGAGTATGGTAACGTTTTATTTAAAAAGCAAAACAATACTGCAGGCGTGTGCACACACAGTCTATTTGGGTGCGCCTCCAGAGCAGAGGGCGCCCTGGAAGAAGGACTGTGGGATAGACGGGAAGAAGGGCTCCCCTCTTTCCTGCACCCGCTTGTGTGCTGAGGAATTTGTTGCAATGAGCATAAATAACATCTTAATGGAAAAAAACACCAAAGATATCCTCATACCACCCTCACCCCAGTGGGTAGCTTCTGGGAGAAGAAACCTGAAATCCAAGGCAAGACTTACTGGGAGATACTGGACCACAGTTCCGTTCTGCTTCCCCACTGCCAGCTGCTTTCCTTTGGGGCTCCAGCACACTGAGCAAAGAAGAGAATGCCACCCATGAAAACAGAAGGAAATGGGGCAAACCAGGGAGATGGGCACCGAGACAGTGACTTAATCACGAGTTTTTGTTTTTGTTTTTAATCAATGTTGACATTATTACAGATCACAATCACTAGTTCTTGTTCTCTTAGTTCACAGAAGACTGTAGGGTCATCCTTCAGCAAAGTAAAAAAAAAAAAAAAAAAAAAAAAATCACTTTGATCATACAAGCCAACTGTGATTTATCAGTGGGCCACTGAATCAAGAGCTAAGATGCTTTTCGATAGAGTTATTTCCCAGAAACCTGGAAGGGCACAAAACCCTGTAGCCTTTAGAGAAGACAAGGGAGTAGAGAAGGCTTTCAAATACCAAGATATCAGCTCTGGCTGGTGTGGCTCAGAGGATTGAGCACTTGCCTGTGAACCAAAAGGTCACTGGTTTGATTCCCAGTCAGGGCACATGCCCAGGTTGTGGGCCGGGTCCCTGGTTGGGGGTGCACAAGAGGCAGCTAACTGATGTTTCTCCTCTTTCTCCTTCCCTTCCCCTCTCTCTGAAAATAAAAAAAATCTTTAAAAAAAATAGAAATGCCTTGCGCCTATTTGATATTTCTGATGTTTTTCCTCTGAAAGGTAAAAATGATTTAGACTACCACTATTTTAGGTCTAGAAACAATTATTCTCAAAAACATAGTTCTTAACCAGCTATACCAAAATATTTCTTTCTCCAGAAAACCCAAGCACATTCAGGTTAAATCATGTATGTGTTTGGCTTCAAGGTCGTTAACTATGGAACTAAAGAACACTCTTCCACTTCTACCAGATAATAACAAACAAAACATTTGCTTTTATTTCCAAAAATTAATTTTCAAAGAGATTAGGATTAATGTGTGTTATAGAGCAAAAGCCTTCATCACCTACCAGATGTTACTGCTACGGTGGAAGGAAGCGTTGCACACACTTTCACTGTTTCTGTGACTTGTAGGACAGCGATGCTGCCATCAGCCAGACACACCGCCACCATGGAGGGGACAGTGGGGTTCCACTTCATATCGACCACCACACCTCCTGCATCTTTCAAAAGCTTATGATAGGCAAATGGGCGTTTCTGCTGTTTAGCCTTTTAAAACAAATGCCCAGAAGCAAAAATAAATAAATTAATGCACAGATATTTCATAGTGGAAGGAAATTATTGAATATTTAAGTTTTCTCAAGTTTCTGTTCATACTCTGGCCAGGTAACTCAGTTGGTTAAAGCATCGTCCTGATACACCAAGATTGCAGGTTTGATCCCTGGTCAGGGTACATACAAGAATCAACCAATGAATTTATGGGAAAGTGGAGGAACAAATCAATGTTTCTCTCTCACTCTCTCTCAAATCAATAAATTAAAAATAAATTACAGTTCACTTTTCTCCACGAATATGAAAAAAAATTTTTAGCCTTACACAACAATCCCTTTGTTACACAACTTTGAAAATGGCAGTCAATTATTCTAGTACACTGGAGGGCCTCCCAGCAGGGGATATCCGAATGCAAAGTAATCAATAAAGAGCAGACACTAGATTAAAACGTGGGCTCTGTTTCGTAATAGTACTGGGCCCTTGGACTGTTACTTAAACTCTCTGGGCCTGGTTCTCCACCTATAAGATGAAGACAACAGTACCTGCTGTGTATGGCCCTGGCAGGCATGAACAAGCATAAGGCGTGCAACGCACTAATACAGGGCCTGGCAGTCAGCATGGGCACTCATGACTACTGGCTATTATATTATCACTAACCTGCCAGGAATGGAAGACACTGCATAAGGGTGTCAGAGACCCTGAATGTTGTCTCTTGTGACATTATCCGTCAGCTCTAGGGTCTTGGGCAAGTCACCTAAATCTCCCTTGGCTTTCACTGTCTCATATGTAAATGGGAACTAATACTATCTTGGAGCAGGTGCTATTATGAACTAATTTCTTGAAGTCCCTTCTACCTCAAGAATCAATGACTCTATAATTGAGAACTTTTACAAATCCATATTTGAATCTATAATGACTTCAAGGGTCAACCAAGAACGTCTAGGTTATGATTTAATACAAGGAAACCAGAGGCCCCATGTTGACCCTGGAGTTTGCCTGCGGCTTACCTCATTTGAGAAGGTGCGAACGTCAAAAAAAGCGATGATGGAGCCGTATTCACTGGACATCATGCACACGGAGAGTGTGAGGTTGTCACAGCTCAGGGCCAGGTGACGGACAGGGAATTTCATAGGAACTAGCAGGCCTTGAACTTTATCAACTAGGAAAACGTAAAAAAAGACAAAACGGAGAATGAGATGTCCTAAGCATCTGTCCCAACCCCTTTATCCAGGTAGATGTGAAACGACTTTTGAGTCTATATAAACACAGGAACATGCCACGCAGATCAATCTTGGCTTTCTTACAGATGTATAATGATGCATTAGTGTCCCAGGAATCCTTCCTCATACGACCTAGGGAAACTAAACTGTGGCTGTCGCCCTTGCTGAGAAGAGTGTCCTTATATTGAGTCCCCAGACTTAATTCCTCCGTGGGGTGGGGTGGGCGGGTCCCCCACACCAACAAACAATTCTCAGGTATCTGAGAATTCAGCACAATTCTGACACTATCTACCCAGAACTAGCGTCAGATTCCACAGGTTAAGTTTCTGTCCTACAAGACCGTCCCCCTCCCCACAAGACTTGAGCCCAGGCTTGAAATGTGCTTATGTGTCTATGTGCTTAGGACCGACTGGCTTCAGATTAGAAGTTAACCCCCTCAAACTCAGAATGCTGCCTGCAAGTCCTGTTACCTGCACTTCTGACCGACTGGCTATAAATCAGGGGATTCCCACAACCGATTCCTTGGGTTCATTTGCTAGAACCCTTCAAATAACTAAGAAATACTGTATGAGGTGGGACCCCCAAAAAACCAAAACAGAAGAAAAAATTGTACATTTATTCTTATACGTTTAAACTTCAGTCACCTTCAAAGTACTCTCCACTTGATGCAATACACCTATTAGGATGTTTTTGCCATTGCTCAAAACAGTTTTTGAACCAGTTGATTTCGATGCCTTTTAGTGTTTCTGCCATTTTTTGTTTCACCTCTTCCACATCAGCAAAACATTTCCCTCTGAGGACTTTTTTCATCCAGGAAAACAAACAAAAAAAAATCACCAGGGAAGGCATAAGGTGACTAGGGAGGGTGGGGTACAAAAGTCAGGCCATTTTTTGGTCAAAAACTGCTGAACACTCAGCACATGGTAGGCAGATGGGCTCATAAATCACCCATCATGAAATGGGCATTGCCAACCTGTACCCCTATTTTTGCGCAATGCTCCAAATAGCACACATTCCCATATGTTTGGATGGAACTGCTGTGCCCACTAAAAAGCCTTGTAGCAAAACCCTTTTCCACGAGAGGCAGAACCCAGGTTCAACTAAGCAAAAATAAATGCATGGGAGAATGGTAAATTCTTTTTTTCTATAAGCTCAAAGGAACAACTCATCAACAAAGAAATATAAAAGGACCAAAAAGAACCAGACAGGCTTCCAACACCTGACCCAGAATTCATCCTGGGGGGCCAGCCTGAGCCCTAACAGCAGTTTTGACTTTAACATTAGCATGATTTCTTGCGAAGGGAACTAGATTAGCACTTCACTACACTCCTCCCTCTACTATGCAACACAGAGCAAGTAACTTACCTATCTTATTGGGATCGTCTCCAGGTTTATTTTGAATAAGAAGATTTTTAGTAGGAAAAATCTGCAACCCGCTGGCTCCACCGGCAAAGACCAGGCCATACTTGTTGGACACGGCAAGCAGACTTGAGCGCTCCTTGGGCAACTCCTCAGGGGAGTCAAAGATTCTCACCTTCTTCAGGGCCCTAAACTGAAAATCCTGATGCGAGAGATCAAAACGAGATCAATGCAGGGAAAATACGAAATTAAATCATGCATGTCATAGTCCAGAAAACCCAATTCCAGTACAACAAAAATACGTATTACCCCGAGGCCAATGACAGTGTGGCTTAATCATTTTTAAGCTTCCGTGTGAGTACTGCGGTAGCTGGCATAGTGCTTATTAATATTTATTCAGTGAAATAAAGTTTTAAAAATTCTTTCATGAAGCCTTCCTTGACTAATCGGTACACACTGAACTTTTCCTTTTTTGAATTCCTAGTTTAGTCTTAACCACCATGCAAGCTGGTGTTGTTATTTATAACCTTGTCCTGTTTTGTAGAGCACATTATCTCGCGACGCAGAGCAGTGCTTAGTACATTGCTGAATATTGAGAGCATCTCCCTACTACTACACTGTAAGCCTAAATACCCAGTGCAGTGCTCGACAAATATATACGGAAATAATGACCACAGAAAGACAACGAAATCCCAAGAACTGACCTACCTGCATCAAATGCTAAACAAAAGTCCATCACAAAAAAAAACAAACAAAAACCAAAAAACTGTACGTATGGTGAAGCTCTTGGTGTTCAAGACCTACTTTAATCCCTAGTCCAAAACCCTTAACACAGGCTACGGAGCCAGGCATGGCTTGACCCGTCCGGGGCCTCACCTCGCTGCAGGCTTCCCTGCCACCCGCGTGCCGTCGTCCAGCACCCCCTCCAGCCCCCACCGAGGCCCAGTTTCCATTTCCTTCCATTTTCACGCTCCTTCGGCTCCGCCGACTCTCAGGGCCGGGAGCCTCCCACAACCTCCCGCCAATGCCTGACTCACCTGGTCTCCCAAGAATTTGCCTATGTTTTCAAAGACAATTTTCAGTGCGCGCTGCTTCTTGGTAAAAAGAGTTCCATTAAGTGTACCAAGCACGATGTTAAATTGTACTATAAAAGCTTTTCCTTTTTCTTTCATTCTAAACTTATCTTTAAATTGTGGTTTTGGTGAAAGGCATGTGAATCCCCTTCTGCTTACATTCCAAAAGTGCAGGAGCCAAAGACAGCCTTTCCCGGCCTTCACTTTTGTAAACTCGGGGTTTCGTAAAAGATTCCTGACACACCCCACACACTCATTTCCCCGGAATCAATGTTTAATGCCTATTTTCTGATAAATTAATTTCCTATGGATCAGAAATCCACACAGCTTTGCAGGTGGAAACCACAGTATGGCTTCACACAGGAGCAGAATAAAATTTTCGTGTGTTTGGTAATTCTTCTCCTGGTAATCCCAAATAGCCTACGTGGGTCCTGGTCACATGGATGTGGCAGAGGCTGTGGGACAAAGAGGCACAAGAGTGCTCTCCTGTCTGTTGTGATCGGTTGCTCAAAGGGAGATTCCCACCTTCTAAGCCTGTGGCTCTAAAACCTTTCTCCCTCCGCTCCAGCGTATCTGAAGAATATGGCTCTCTCTCACTGGGTGGCTCACCGAGGCAGTGATTTTGGGAAAGAAAGAATCATTACTCTCTCAGGTATGGCTTGCTACTCCCTAAATGCATTTCAGTGATTTGTTGTTCAAACCTCAAAACCTTCCTGCAACTCACTCCCTTGCAGGTCTTTATAACCATCACTGGGATCACCTGCCCTCCCCCGGGTAGTTTCCTGACTTAGATTTCCATCACGAGAAGAGCCCTCCTATTCCGATTAACTGGTGTTCTGTAGGACAGGTGATGAACCCTGGCTCTGTGTTAGGCAAGCCTGGACCACCTTACAGAAGTAGGACACTGAGACTGAAAGAGTATTTAAAAACAAAAAACAAACCCCCACACCTGGATTTCAGCCTCTTTGTCAAATGTGATTTTGGGTAAGCTACTTTCCGAACATTGATGTGCTCCTCTAATATTAACAACTATTCCGTAGGGTGGCTATATGATTAACACTGTGCCTTGCACACAGTAAACGCTCAATAAACAGCTTATTACCAGTGCTCCGGCACCGCCCCCCCACCCCAGGAAAGTAGCTAAAGTTACCCAGGTGGCCCTCACGAGACCAACACGGGACGGGGAAACTGCACTCGAAGGGCTCTCTTGCGAGCCGCGCGGCACAGTGCCCCAGGACGCGCAAGCGAGAACTCTGAAAGCGGCAAATATTCAGGCGGGAGGCGGGGCAGCCGGCACCCGCGCTCCGCTGTTGAGCCGGGCTCTAAGGCAACGCCGGAACTAGGGAAGGGTGGGAGGCCCCGGCCAGTCTCTGACCTTCATCTCCCGTTCAGGGATCATGGCATCCATCTCGTCCCCCATTGCGCCGCTCTCAGTTGGTCGAAGCAGCCGCCGCTGCCCGCCGCGGCCTTGCCCACACAGCCAGGCCGCTCGGAGGCCGACTAGCTCCACACAATGCCAGCGGCGCCCAGCGGGCCCGCACTTCCGGCGCGCTCTGGTGACGTCACGCGTTTCCGTCCACGGCGTAATCCAGGGAGGCTGAGGGACCGTCTGAAGTCGCGCGCTCTACTGGCCACCGCCTCCCATTGGCCAGCTCAAGCTGAGTAGGGGGCGGGGCCCTGGAGCCCGCACGCCTGCGCCGTGGAACGTTCAGGCGCCAACCCCGCTTTCGGTCCTAGAACGGGCTCTGCTTCGCCCCGGAGTCTGGCCTCGGACGGCGCATGTCCGAGCGCTTCGCGTTTGGCATTGGGTCGACACCCCACAGTAACCCTTGGATGTAGGTGGTTATGAATAGTTCCCGATGTAGAAAAGTTAGGGATTTGACAGATATTTTCAGGGGCAGATCTTGAAGGGGGCTTTGGATGGAGTGTGGAGAAAAAGAGGTTCAGAAAGTGGGTGGGATCGGGCCTCACCACGGGAGACTTTCCTGTATCTAAACTCGAAGGCGGAAAGGGGAGAGGTCAAAGGAGCCCCAAACATCGGTTTTGCTTACTCCTTTCAAGGTAATCATTTCCGAAGCAAGAGCCTGGAAACCGTAAAAACGGTTTAGGTGTGTTACTGACTCTTCCAGACATCCTAGTCACCTAGGAGTCTTTGCCATTTGATTGATGAGGGACCAAGAAGCACAGAACAGCTAAAACTACCCGGTGCCCCTAGGTCAGAAAGCGGTGGAGTCGGGATTAGATTTCAGCTTGTCGGGATATGCTCACCTGATGACTACTGCGTGGCAGTGGTGGGGCAGGGACACACATTCTACCACTTACTGTTTGGTTTTCGGCAAATTGCGGATCTGCCCCAAGCCTGCCTCTCATTTTATAAAACAAGGATGACACACAGAACCTGACTTCTTGGGTTGTCCTGAGGGGTGAATGAAGTTCCGTGTTCAGCAGAACCTCGCACTCGAGACACATTCATGCACTCTGTTCCTGTGGCATCTCGCTCTTCAGAATTTGTTGAGCACCCTCACCCCACCTGGAACCCATCCCCAAAATACACGAATCACACATCAGTTTGTCTGTTTTTATTTCCAGTATGTGCAGAGGATGTCCGGCATCACACACGCTCACAGGCACGCGCACACACATATTGCATCCACCTGAACTTGTGCGACACACTCCTTCATTCTGAGTCGCGGGGACAAAGCCAGACTTGGCAGTCCCCAAGTTTCTGGTTACATTAATAAGATTTGGTCTTTCAGAAAGAAGACAGCTGAAGTTCTAAGCAGCTGAGCCCTAAGCCAGAGAAGTAGAGTCTTAGAACCAATAGACACAATCACACACACAGAGAACCCTTTCCAGAGACCACTCTTGAGCCCTCCTCCCTCCAGAAGTTGAGTTCCGAACGGGGCGAAAGATTGGTGGGCTGTCCCAGGTAACTCCCCATGCAATGAGGAAGGGCTTCCTTTCCCGCCCTTCCCAGAGTTGGGGACACACTCGCTCTCCTCCCTTCGGGAGGCTTCCCTGTGGCCTTGTAAACCAGGGGGCCTACTGAAACAAGCCCGGTTGGCTCTGCCTCCTCGGAGTAAGAATCAGGTACGCTACGGTGAGCAGTCAAGGAAAGCTTCACTTTGACTAAGTTCTCATCCCATCCCGGAGAGGAGAGGTAGAGGGAAGGGGTGGGCACAGGCAGTTGCTTATCTAATGATCTCAGGGGGAAAAAGAAAACAAGGCAGGGAAGGGGGTGGGGTGAGATTTTACATTTACAGGGAGAACTGTTTTTCTGGGGTTTAAACTTCAACTAGGCCTGTGCATCTGAGCAGCTCTAGAGCCTGAAGATCAGCCAGTCATGGCCAAAATAATCTTGCTCCTGCACTGGTTAAGACCAGCCGATTAAGTGGACCGGCGCATTTTCCCATCCCCTTCCTGCTTCAGTCCCTCAAGCTACTATAAAGGCAGCTCCTTGGGCCCCAAGTATGGGTCACGGAGGAACCACAGGGAGTCCACACTGGCTCCAGCCTCAACAGCACTTCCGGTTTGGCAAGGGCTTCTCCAAGACTCTTGCCTCGTCTTGGGCCCCCAGGATTTCCGTACAGTCCCCCTACAGCCCCCTTTCCTAACCATCTTACTGGTCCTTGCCTGGGTCTGACTTCCTCACTAGATTCTAAGTTCCATAAGTATGTCTATTTCACTTCTGGGTTCTTAGCTCTTGGCCCATAGCAGGTGCTTAATAAATATGTTCAACAGGTGAGTGCACCTAAGGGTAAGGGACTCAAGAACACAGATGCGGTCAGGGCTGAGGTTCCTGCTCAGCCAACGTGAGGCTGAGTGTGACACCTGTGTGAGTCCCACAACGTGGCTTAGCTGAGAAGCTCTGGGGAAGGCAGGACTGCGAAGGCGGGCCTGGCCCTTACCCAAACCCTGATGCAGACTCGGAGGCTCTGGGAAGGTGAGTCCTGGCCCTGGGCCTTTCACTGGCACTGACCTGGAAGATTGCCCCTCCCTGTCCCTTTCTTTGTTTTCATCACAGACTGAGGCAGCCCAGAGCAGAGACAAAGCATGGGCAAGGCATCTGAACACTTGGGCTTCAGTCCAGACTCTTCCATCTCCAGATTAACCCCTGCCCTTGGGCAAGGCACTTGATCCTGTGGGCCGCTGCAGTTTTCTCACGCGTGAAGTGAGGGGACCAGCTCAGCTAACCTACAGGGTGAATGAGGGCTCTAAACCCTGAGTCCAGAATAAAGGACACAGGTGATCGCAATCCAATCCCCAAGCTCAAGGTTTGGGGCGATTTGGAAAGGGAAAGTTAGAGAGACAGTGGACACAGCACACATCAGGACAAAGTGGGGACTCTTAAAGCTTATAATAAGTGGTCAATAAATACCTGTTGTATGACTGAGTGAATGAATGAATAAATGAATGAGTGATGTAAGGCAGGGAAGTGGGAGGGGGAAGCACAGTGTTTTCAAGCAGACTGGGATCAGAAAGGTGGCCTCCTGTCTCTCACGTCTTGGCTTAACAGTTGTGCTTTTTGCCACGAGCATTTTATTCTTCATTCTCCTCCCCTGTTGCCCTCAGCATCCTCCCTGAAAGGTAGACTGAGATGAGCCCCCTTCCACAAGGCCCTGGGCCTCCCCTCTACCTCCAAAGCCCTTTGCTGCCCCAGCAAGGGACAGGGTTCCCTCTGAGCTGCCTGTAAAGGTGTGGTGGGGGGCGGGGCAAGGCCGGAGGATTTCTTCTGGAACCTTCTTGAATGGCTCAATCCTTCTGTCACCTCAGTAAGGATGAGAAGAGGTGCATAGCCTGAGGGGGGCATGGCCTGGGGTGGTGGGGCAGTGAGTGACCGCCCCCTGGACAACTCTGGGGAAACCCTAGCAAGACCCTACAGCCTTGTCCCCACTCCAGTGTCTTCTGAAAGAGGCTGAGGTCCTTAGCAGGGCCGGGCCGGCGAGGCTGAGCTAAGCTCAGAGACCTCCAGGACGGATGGACAATACCGGCTCGACGCGTGGGGATCACAGGCTTCCAGCCTCCCTGCCTGGCCCTGCCCCCTCCTGTTTTTGGTTTGATGTCAGCCCTTCTGCATGAGTGGGGGTGGGGGGAAGGACAGAGGGAGGGGTCCCAGAGTCTCTTTAAGGCAGATAATTGGTGCTTCACAAAGAGATCACTGACTCTGCTGATGAAAAGAAATAAACATGCCCAGCGACCAAAAAACCCAAATAAGACAAAACGCAGTGAGTCCAGAGGGCAGCGCGATCAGGAGGGAGGAACGGGGCAGGGAGGGCAGGGGCAGGTCCAGGCGGGGTCCTCAGGGCAGGCTGGCAATGTCTCTCTCTGGAGGGGGGCCAACCGGCTTGGGGCTGCTCTCCTGGGCTTTTCCTTCAAACATCATGACTCTGGTTTGGAGATGGAGAAAAACAAAACAAAACAGGATTAGGACTCCTCCCTTCATCCAGGGAAAGCTCATCCAGCCTTCGGTTTGCAGGCTCCTCAGCAGAACCTCCATCCGTTTTCCAGCGGGATCTTCTCGGAAGCCCAGGGCGGCAGCTACAAGGAGGAGGCTCCTGGTTCCATTTTTACAGAGGAGAATACAGGCAACGTGACCCTGCAGAGCCACACAGGCAGTACAAGTGGGGCAAGACTCAGGATCTTTGACTTCTAGGCTATGCACCTTCCTTCCCCTAACCACGCTGCCTGGTGGCAGCAGAGCGAAGCTGGGCCACGGCTCTGCTCAGAACACCCTTCCGGTCTTCAAGAACCTCCCACTGTTCTGAGAGTAAAGTCTGGGGAGCAGAGGGTAAGTGTTCCTGGTGTAGCGCCTAGAAGGAAACAGCTGGGATTGAGTCCCAGCCCCACTACTTCCCAGCTGGTGACTCCAGCAAGACACTCAGCCCCGTTTCTGCTCTGTGTCTCCATCTGGAAGTGCCGGTGCCAGAAGTGCTTTCACCCTGGAGCTGTTCCAGGCATCAGTGCCCGACTCTGTCTGCAGTCAGTCCCTGCTCGGGCTCTTCAGCGCCCCGGCTTGAAGTCCCATTCAAAAGGTGGCGGTCCACAGACAGCTTGTTTCTGAGCTCCAGATGTGCACGCCAGCTCCCTCCTCGACCCCTCCCCTTGGATGTCGGAAGGGCCCTTCCCTTGGGCACATCAAATTCTTGATTCCAGCCTCCCCCACCCGCTCTTTCCTCCGAGCCAACAGCACAGTCGCCCACCCAGTGACGCAGACCCCAGACTTTGGACTCAGCAGACTCCTCGTTTTCCTTTACACCTACATCCGGGCATTTAAGCAGTGTTTCCAGCTCTACCTCCAGAATCACTCCGGATTCCAACAGCTCCTGCCCAGTTCCACGGCAGCCTCTGCAGGAGAGCGTCTTACCCCTTCCCTGCACAGGTCTCCTCGCTGCCGCTCTCTCCTCTGCCACAGCCAGAGGGGGCCTTTTAAAAGTCAGCCCCCAGCTTAGAGTACTCCAGCGGCGTCCCTCCACTTTAGTACAAAATGCTCAGTCTGACAGTGGCCCTCAAGGCCCCATGTCCCCGGCCCACCTCTGCAGACTCATCCTTCACTTGCTGTACTTACTAATGGCCCAGACTCACTGGCCTCTGTCCTGTGCCTTGAGCATACGAGCATGATCCTGCCTCAGGGCCTTTGCATGTGCCAAGTCCTCTGCCTGGAATGCCTTTCCCCGTGTCTTCCCAGGGCTCATCTCTTCCCACCGTCCTCACTCAGGGCTCTGGTCAAACGTCACTTTCTCAGTGAGACCCTGCCCACCACTGTGTTGTCCCTGTTCCTCTTGCCCACTTCACATTCCTCTGCATTATTACATCGTGGCAGTCTGGCGTTTTTGTTTGTTGTCATTTGTCTCCTGCCATTGGAATGTAAGCTCCATGAGGAGGCCAGCAACACAGGTGTCCCCAGCACCTACGATAATTCCTGGCACAGAGCTGGTGCCATTTGCGGAATTAACAAACGATCAATCTAAAGAGCCAACATGCAGACGAGTGCCTGACACATAGTAAATGTCCACTAAGTCTTCGATGTCTGAATAGCGCCGTCGCTCTGATTGCTGGCACCTGCACTCAGCCGTGTGCTCTGCCCCAACGGCCCGTCCCACCCACACTAAGAGCTCTGACCAGCCCAGTCTGTGGGCTCGTGAGCCGGTTGCACAGCTTCCTGGAGCCTCAACTTCCCCTTTTGTAAAATGAGACAGGTGTGTTCGATGTTTGTACATTTGAAAAAAAATTAATCTCATTTCGTGAAAGCCAAGTGAGGGCCTTCTCAGCGCAAATATCGCGGGACTCTGCAGGGACTTTGTGGCTCCTCAGGGGGAAGTACCTGTGTACGGAGGGTGATTTTATCCACCACGTACTGGGTGTTTGCCGTCAGCCAGGTGCCGGGCTAGACTCTTCGTGTGGGTCATGTCATTAAGCCTCAGGACAATGCTTCGTGAAAGATATTTATTACATCTCTATCTTACAGACGAATAGCATGCGAACTCTACTTCCCTTTAGCGGCGGGTTTTAAATCTACACTATGCTCACAACAACCCCAGGGGGTAGGAGAGTCACTTTACAAATGAGAAAACTGAGGTTCAGAAAGTTCTGCTAGGTTTGTCATCATCATCGTCACCATCACCACAGTTGCCACTTACTGAGGGCCGATCCTACCAGGCCTTCTGCTACAGGCTAATTTCCCATGCAAGGTACAGACGAGCGTGGCATGTGACAGATAAGGAAGACGGGTTCAGAGAGATGAAAGACCTTGCCCAGCGGGTCACACAATGAGTTACCTCCTGGCTGGGGAATGGCCGAGGTGCCCGAGCCAGAGGCCTCTCCACACCCAAGGACTTGGCCTTCAGAGGCCCCAGGAGAGGCGGGGAGGTACTCACAGCTTGAGGACAGCCGACCGTTTCCCCAGCATCATGTTCACGAAGTCTCGGTAGGAGATGGTGTCGCTGACCCCACCTGTCACCTCCGAGATCATCTTCTTCATCTCCAGGTGGGTCTTGGGGACCCCGAGCTTCTCCATCATCCTCTTTAAAGACATCAGGTCTACCGGGGAGGGGGGAAAGCAGATACCTTCTAAGTGGAGACGGGTCGGGAGACAGAGGGGGGGGGGCGGTGAGTGGGGAAGCCGTTAAAACGTCCTCTGGGCCCCACACCCAGAGGAAGCCCGCAGGACAGCCCCTCCCTGGGGACTGCAGGTGATGGCCTTGCTCCTTGTGGGAGAGTGAGACTGTCACACCCTCCCTGTGCTCCTCAGAGGCAGTGTGAGTAGTCGTTAGGGACATGGACTTTTCGTGCCACGCGGACTTGGGTTGGAATCCAGCTCTGTGATTTCGGGCTGCGGGACCTGGGGCAAACTACTTCACCCCCCTAAGCCTCAGCCCCCACCGGTCCCTGGGAGGGGTGATGTGTGGGAAGCACCTGGCACAAAGCTGGGGCGCGGGGACAGAGCGGCCATTCTTTACTGTTATCTCTGCTGTGCCCCGTGGTTAGGGGCAGCCGTGGGCCTGCCGCCCAGCTACCCTGGAGGTCACCGCCCAGCGAGGTGGGGGCAGGGAGTGGGCCGGACCCCAGGCATTGAAAGTCCCCTCCAGGAGGCCAGGTGTACGTAGCCTCCCTGATCTGCCACCCCCACCCTGCAGTCCCGGGGCACCCCTTTGGCCAGAAGGGAGAGGGTGCCAAAAATAGCCTGCAGAGCAGGAAAACCAACAAAAGAACAAAATTCCAGAAAAAAACAAGGGAGGCACCGAAAAGTCACTACACCCCGAGGAGCTGCTGACTCTGACCGCCCGCTCCCAAGATCTGAGGCAATTTCCTTCAGATTGTCCTGCGAACAATGGATCAGCAAAGGACCGCAGGGGAGGCAGCGCAGCGGGGGGTGGATTTAGGGCCAGGCCATGGCGTGCCAGCTCACCCGAGAGGCAGGGCGGGCAGGACGGGTGCCAGACCCCTAGGTGCCAGGATGTCCAGGGCATTTCAAAGAAAACTGGGCAGCCTGCTGCAGGAAGGAGTGAAAGGTCTCCCACAGCAGCTGGCCGGGCTCGAAATTGGCAAGACCTTGCTGGACGGCCACTTGGCAGATGCTTCAAAAGCCTTTGACCCAGAATGTCTAATTCCTGAGATTTACTCTTAAGAAATAATCAGGGATGTGGACAAAGATTCATGTCCAAAGATGTTCTTCACAGCATTATCAATGACACGACGGCATTGGCCGAATAAATTATAGTCCGCGCCCGCAATGGACTGTTACGCAGCCACTAATTATATTTCAAAAGAAAAGTTAATCGTATGTCAGAATGCTCACAATATGTTATTTTTTAAAAAAAAAAACAAACAAAAAAAACTCAACAAAAAACGGAGGTTCTAAAAATGGTCTAAACAGCATTTGTGATTAGAACAAAGCGTGGAAGGATATAAACGAAAATGTGCATAGCAGTGGGTGACGTATTTTCGTCCTTGCGCTTTGCTGTGCTTTCCAAAATTTTTTATGATGAAAATGCATTCCCTTGATAATTTTTTTTCTCAAGAAGAAAAAGAATAAAAATATTCGAAAGGAGGAAGGACGAGGGAAGACAGAGGAGCAGAAATGCGGCAGCACCGAACCTCGGTTTTCTCATCTGTAAAATGGGGATAATTAAGCCAGCCTTGACCAAGTCCTTCTGTGACTGGTGAAGGTCCAGATTATGGTCTTGAATGTAAGTGCCACGGACAGGCGTTTGTCACCCCTAGTGTGTGGCGGGCAGGACAGGATGAGGGTCTGTGGGAGGAGGGCACCTTTGTCAATGGCAGGACAGTGTGTAGATGGGAGGAGAGGCCTGGGGACAAAGGAAATGCCAGCCCCCAGGGCCAGGGCGTCAACCGCCTGAGCATCTCCAGCCCCAGGCAGGGGTGGCGCTCTCTGTGCTGGGTTCCCTGGGTGGGAAGCCAACGGGGGCAGCGAGGCGGGTGGGGAAGGAAATGGTCGGAAGAGAAGTCTGGGGGCGACGGGTCCAGGGTAAAGGCGGACAGACCCCAACCTGGCTCAGCTGACCCAGCCCTCGGAAAGGCTTCAGTGTGTGACCGTCACACTCATGACACCTCACCCACGCAGGTGAGTCTGTGGGGCTCTCTGGACCTTCACACCGTCCACCCACTGAGCACCCTTGGCCCCCACAACATACTCAAAGTGTCACTCACCAATCTCGCCTTCATTGTTCAGGTCAAACTCCATGTACTTCTCTGGAAATCACAGAGCAAAAACCGGCATTAGCTTGGAAAGCCGGGTGGCCCCTGCAGGGCCCCAGTGACTCCCCTGAGGGCACGTGGCCAGGTCCTCGGAGAGCCCACCCCGAACTCCTCGCCCCCCGGGGGCTCTCGACATGAGTCCTGTCATCCTGGTTGCCTGCACCCCATCCTGTGGGCACCACGGGGAGAGGTCCTCCGGAGGCCACCCTGACCCTCTGCCCTGGAGGGCAGCTGCTTCCACCTGAGTCCCCGCTGGGGACGGCTGGCTACAGTCCAATCAGCTGCGGGGACAATACGTTCCAATCAGCTGCAGGGACAATACATTCCAGCCCTGGAGATACAGATTCAGTGGGGCTGGGGAGGGTGGGGTGGGAGCAGGAAGTGGTCAGCGTGCCTCAGCTGATTCCGACGGGCGGCCGGGGGTGGGGCCCCCAGTAAGGAGTCCCTGTGGTTTGGAACCTTTGGGTCCTGGGCAGCACTGAGGAGCTGATGCTCTTCTAGGAGAAATGCCCGTGGGCCTGCCTTCGGCCACAAAGTGGGACACACAGAGTCCCAGGGTACACAGACCCTCCCCACCAACCTCACCCACAGACTGAATGAAAACGCCCCCGATCAAGGGGCCCAGGGGAGCTCCCGTAGCCCGAGAATGACAGGGGCGGGCGGGGGGGGGCGCCTTGCTATCTTCCATCACGGGCGTGTGTGCAAACACGTCCCGGGCCCTGGGGCAGCTGGCCCTGCCTCGGGAGGAGGAGTAGGGCCCTCTAGGCCTATTCTGCACAGAGCAGGGAGAGTGGGAAAGCCGAGGTCCTCCCGGTGGCCTTTGAGGCCTCCGGGACCTTCCGGAGCATCTGTCTTCCAGCCTCTCGGGCTGCCTCTCCCTCCAATCCCTGCGTTCCATCCGCTGGTCTTGCTGTACCTGGCCCCTTCCCCACCTGCTCCTCCTAGGGACTGGAATGTCCCTGCTGGGTAGCCTCAAGGGTCCTCCTCCTGCCATCAGGGCCCCTGGCCTTTTGAATTGGGTGCCCCCCCCGCCCCCACAAAACACCTACACCTACTGCCCCAGAGACCTCTGTCACTTCTCCCAGAGCCACCGCTGAACTGTGGCCCACTGATAGGCAGAGAGAAGGGAAGGCCAGCTCCTCCTCTGCAAGGCTCTCCTTTGGACAGCTGGCAGGGGTGCAGGGTGATGACAGGCAGGGACGGGGGTGTCTTGGTCCTAGTTCTTCTTCTTTAATGTTAAAAAGCAACATCGCATAATGGTTAAGAGCAGGGGTTTCAGAGTGAGACCAATACGGGTTCAAGCCCCAACTCTGCCCTAGGGGAGCTGTGTGGCCCCAGACAAATGACCCCACCTCTCTGAGCCTGAATTTCTTCTATAAATTACAGATGGCGTCACCTCCCTCCTGGCTGCACTGGGATGATTCAGGCCGCTCACAACGCAGATTCAAAGCGCTTCCCACAGGTCCACATCAACAAACGCCTGGCCCCTGATGCCCCGCCCAAGGACGACCCAGCTGTACGGGGTCTGAGGAGCACTGGCAGGTTCTCGGCCCGGAGCAGGGAGGTTGCCCACACAGCCGAGACTTTGGGGTGGGGGGCATGTGGCCTCGGCGGTATTTGCATGGTCCTGCCGCACCGCAGCGCGTCTGTCCAGCCGCGCAAAGGTGGGCCCGTCTGCTCCTTGCGGCTTACGTGCAGGGCTCCTCTCCTTTCCCCAGCAGCTGGCTGGGAACCAAGTGCCAGGGCCCGAACAGAGGGACCTTTATGCCGCCCCCTCCCCGCGCGCGGGCTCCTGGGCCCTGTTTTCTTTTCATCCCGTGCTGCCGGGATTCAATGGGCAGAAACTCTGCCCCCTGCCCCACAGCGAAGACACAAGCGTCCATTCTCCACAGGGGCTCCCGAGACGCTCCACGGTGCAGGCGGAGCGGCCAGAGCTGCCACAAAGGGCCGATTGTGTGCTGGGGCCCCGGGAGCGAGCAGGGCCTGGGCCGCGGCAACGGAGCCAACCTGAGCCCTGTGGGGCAGCTGGGGGGGAGAGGGGGGCAGGGGCGGGCTGAGGCCTGCAGGCGAGGGGCCCAGGGGTGCCCTGGAGGCAGCTGGAGGGGCCTGCCCCCCTCTAGCTGGGCACCCTGTCTTGCAGTCCACCAGGACGGGGCATTTTGGATGGAGCGGGGTGCAGCCTGGCCCAGTGGGGGGAAGGAATCCCACGTGCGAGGGACTGGGAGGTGGGGCAGCCAGCCCCAGCTCACCTTTGAAGGCTGAGAGCTTTTCTGGCAGGTCCTCTTCATCGCTGTACTTCTGGTCACAGAGAAACTCCTACAGAGGCGAGAGGGCAGAGTTGAGCCAGGGGTCAGGGGTCAGAGCTTGCCAGTATGGAGGCCCATTGCCCTGGGCCTCCTCTCCCGCCAGGCCAGACACTGGAGCCTGCAGCCGTGGCCTGGCCTGCGGCTCCAGCGTCAGGCCTGGCTTCCTATCAACCTTCCGGGCCGACCTGCAGAGTCCAGCCTGTGGGTAGGAAGTGTGTTCTGCAGCTGGGCGGGGGGCGGGACATGGAGGGTCTGCTCTAGAAGAGGAAATACCTTCAACCACACTCCGAATTACCAGTGCAGGGACCTGGGGGTCCCCCGGGCACCCCGTCCTGGGTTCCATGAAGCCAAGAGTCCCAGTGACAAACTGCCTGGTTCCAGCATTAAAGTCTTAGGTATGTGACCCTAGCGTGTTAATTCCTCTCTGGTTTTCCAATGCTTCATCTCCAAACGGGTGTAACGATCACAGCTACTTCTGGAGTTTGTGTGAGAAGCCGAGGGCAGTGCCTGTGGGACTCCTGGCCCATAGCAAGTGCTCCATCAACAGTAGCTGTCATGTTATCAGCCTCTGCTCTGGCCAGGAAACGACCGTACATTGCTTGGGAGGTCACTTACCCCTCTCTTCTGTGTCCTCACCTGTAAAACAGGTCCACTGTCCTCTCACATGCTGGGAGAGATGCCAATGAGTCCTTTCAGACCCCGATGGCAAGGGCCGGGGGACACTAACAAGAGCCCCCAGAATGAAGCACTTACACGATCTCTCTGCACCCCCCAGTGGGACCGACTTTCCTTTTGCCAATGAGAAAATCGAGGCTCACACAGCCAGAGCTACATCCGTTCAGCGCCATCTCATTCAAAGTCTGCATCCTTGACCTTGGCTTTTAAAGACGGGCAGAGAGCAGGCATTCATCCCGCTTTAAAACCAAAAGTTACCCATTCCTAAGCACCTGCTGCGCCAGCAACAGGCCAGGGATCTCACCTGCCTTGCTGCTAATCTGCAAGCCGCCCTAGCACCTGCGCGCCAATGGGGAGGCAGAGGGCATCTACGCATCCCAGCAGCGGACTCCGCAAACGCCCTCTCTTCTCTGGGTCTCATTTTCCTCATTACTGAACCGATGACACATGGGCTTCCCTTGCGCTCATTCGTTCAACAGCTTTTGAGGGACCACCGCGCCCACTGCCATGTTCCAGGCAGCAAGGGACCAGGCGAGACCAAGGCAAATAAGCTCTCATCCTAAAATGACAAGGGAGTGCTTGAAGTGGTATTGATGGGTATCTAGGTCAGTCACTCAATCTGTTCCTGAATTCCTCTGCTCCTTCCCACTGATGGAGGAGTGGGGCTGTACTTACACATCTCCTAGGACAAGAAACTCACTACCTTTCCAGCCTGTCATGTAAACCCCCAGGAGGCTTAAAGTGGAGCAAGAGAATGACAAACAAAGCCAAAGCGAGGATAGAGCCTTTGGGGTTCGGATCTCAGTCCCGTCCTTACTAACTGCAAAAGGGGCACAGTGGGGTCCACCTCCTCAGGCACCTGTCCCTCTAAGGGGATGACCAAGCTCCTCCGCCAGGGCTCTGTCAGCAACAGGTGTGATTTAGTGTGAGGCAGAGAATGACCCCTCCCAGGGTCCAACGTCTCCATGCTAACGCGTCCCCCTTTGACAGAGAAGGAGGCGCCCGCCTGCCAGCGCGACTCCGCTCGCTGGGTCCAGGGGCTCTGACCATCCCCTTGCTTTGGGCAGGTACTGTGCTATCCCATGAAGTCCTCACTACTATGCTGATCTTACAGCTGAGAACTGGAGGACCAACCAAAGCGGGTCCGTAACGCCTCTAAGGCCCCGGGCAGCTAAGGAAACGCAGGGTTGGTTTGGGTTTGGAGTCGGGGCCTATCGGACCCTGGGACCTGTGCCTCCAGCGGCCGGCGGAGGGCGGCCCCAGGGCCCGCGGGGCCCAGCTGGCTTGGCCCCAGCCTCACTCGGGGTCTCGTTACCATGTACCACACGCGGCCCTACCCCCACTTAGCTGGAGCTGGGACCTTCTCCTGCTGCCTGGGGGGCGGCCCTCCTCCCAGCTGGCTCTGTCCAGGCCTGGCCTTCCTCTTGGCTCTCTTATAGCCCTTTTCCACTGCTGACCAGAAGTAGGACAATTAACTCTTGTCTGTGCCCCTGAGCAAACTGGGCGCCTCCCAGGGTCACAGATCCCAAACCTGCCCAGCAGAAGGACAAAAGCTCCTAGACTTTGGGCTAGTGGATAAAGAAACATTTCCAAAAAAGTTAAAAATAGGGAGAAGTGCTAAATAAGGCTGCCAAATGTGTACTTTGCCAAGTAAAGACTACACAATTACCATTGACTGCTGCTATTAAGTTCAGAAAAGGATGTTTCATAAAAGCACGAAGTTCAGAATCTCAGCATTTTTAAATGGAAACCATTTCACCGACATTCAACGCACAACGTTGCCCCTATGTTCCCTCCACTTTCCCGTGTTAGGAACTGGGAAGCCTTCGTGGGGAGGGACAGGCAAGGCCCCCCATTTGGGACCCTCTGGGCAGAGAGCCGGGGGCCCTCCCAGCATCCATATTCTGGTCGACCAGAAATCCTGCACCAGCCTGAGGCACTGTTAGTAACGTGTACTGACCACTTCTAGGAATCCTGGGACTGCATTCCAGGGGCAGGACACAGGCTTTGGTGTTGGGGACAAATCACACAGAGGTGGACGCAGAACCACCAGGCACCAGCGACCAAGAGCGAGGACAAGAGCGCAGCAGGAACCAGGGAGCGCTGAGTAACGGCTCCCCTTTGCTGGACCCGCCTGGGCCAGGCTGGCTCCCACCAGGGACTTGGCTCTAGCCGGGCCGCCTGCCTGGCCTGCTCATTCCTACCCTTCTGCACGGTTCTCTGCCTCATCTTCTTCGAGCCTTTGCTCAACTGGCCGCCCTGCCCACCGCAGTCCCTGCCTCCACTTCCATCCCACCTTATCTTCCTGTGCGGCTGTTTTTATTCCGCAGGGTGAGTTGCCTCCTAACACAATTTAATTGCTTATTAAGGGTACTGTCTATCATCTGTCTCCCCCTGTGAGAATATAGGTTCCATATAGTAGGTGCTTAATAAATGTTTGTAGGATGAGTGACTGAACCGAGACTCAGGGAGGCTAAATCACGTGCGCAAAGCAGCCCAGCCAGCGAGCGGCCAAGCTGGGATTCGGCTGCACAGTGGAGGCCGCTCTGGTTCCCTCCCTGCCCAGAGCGGGAAAGGGTCAGTGATCCAAGGAAGTGGGTGTTGGAAGGATGATGAGAGGAGGCAGGTCCTCAGCCACGAGGTCTAGGAGCACCCAGCACTGCCCAGCATGTAGAAGGTGCTCAGTAAACATCTGTTGAAGGAATGCAGATGCTGCCATTCAGCCAGAACGACTTTCTCCTCTCTCCCCCATGACATGGTAAGGCAACTTTGCAAAAGCGTGTGCTTGTGTGTGTGACAGAGACTGGTGGGGGGGGGAGCGGCGGGCGGGGGGGAAGGACTCACAGATTAGAATCTCATTTTTTCTTATGAGCCAAAAATGACAAATGCTTGCCACACGGTGACCAGGGTGGGAAAAGCAGCTGACCCATTCGTGCGTGGGTAGGCAGCCCTGGCTGACCCCGGGCTTAGGGCAGCTGTGTGGACTGTGTCTTTGGCGGGGGCACAGGGAGGCAGGCGGGCGGGCGGCAGGAACAGCAGCGTCATTGGCCAGGCTGCCAGCTCCCACCCCCCCTCCGAGCTCCAGATTCTCGGTCCGCTTATGCACAGCCCACAGCTTCCTCCCTTTCAGGCGCCTGCCCCCGATCCGTGCCCAGCCTCGGGGCCTGGCCATGCCCAGTGGTCAGGGATCCTATGTGTCCCGATGCCAGGACCCCCGGCTGCCCTGACTCCGGGTCCCCCGGCAGAGGAGACAGAGATAGAAGCCAGTCCCCTCTGGAAGAAAAGTGAAAGCAAAAACGAAAAGAGGGCAAGTGGGGGCCAGGATGCCTGGGCGTGAACCACTCAGCAGCTGCGTGAAAAGCACGTCACTGGCTTGTGCCTCCATTTCCTCATCTGTAGGATGGGCACAGACACATCTCACAGGCTTGTTCTGAGAATTACAATCTGCAAGTAAACGCATGCAAAGTGCTTCACACAGGGCCTGGCACCTCGTAAATGCTGAACAGCTATTAGCTGCTCATTGTTATCTTCTAACATTTCTATCTGTACAACCCACGGATCAACCCCCACGGTTCCTCATCACCCAGACGCCCATCGACTAGCAAACGGGTCAGAAGCAAACCTCCTTCCCCACCTTAGGCTGCTTCTGTGTTCTTTCCCCTCTCCAGGTAACCCCGCTTGGCAGATGGGATGCCTGAGGCCCAGAGAGGTTGCGCACCTGGCTCAAGATCACAGTTCTTACCATCCACAGCTGATCTCCCTTCACTGTCCTGCTCCCTCCCTGCCCCGGGCAAGGGGCCGGTGGCCTGACCACAGGTTTCTGCGCAAAGAAAGTCAACACTGGGAGTGGCCCTTCCTCTGGGGCAGCTGTAGAAGGAGGTGGCTCCGGAGGCCAGGGACCCACTCTATAGCCCACGGGGGATGGGGGGCGGGGGGCAGGTTGTGGACGGTTCACCCTGTCCCCGTCCCCTCTCCCCCTCCAGCCCACTGTCCTAATGACAATTGCCTGCAGCTGCAGAAACTGCTGTCAGAGCCTCCCGGTAGGAGAGTGATTACTGACATGCTGAGCTGCAGGTTCAGAGGCCTTGGTGGCCCGGTCAGTCCCTGGCGAATAGCCAGGAAATGCAAGCAGGCAGGAGTGGGGGTGAAAACAGGAAGCGTGTGTGTTCCCCAGGCAAGGTCTGGGCAGGTGGTAGAGCTGTTAAAGCACCTCCCCAGTCACAGACAGTGAAAGGGACTCCTCAAAGCACCCGCCTGGGCTTGTCCTCTTTGTTCACTAGCTGGGGAAACTGAGGCCTCAGAACGGAAAGGTCTCGACTACAGCCGCGAGGGTCA